TCACTTTTGCAATAAGATTAAAATTAAAACAGATCCAAACAACCAAACAACAAAACAAACAGACAGAATAAAATTAGGCTAGCAAAGTGGGCCCATTTAACTAACCCTGCAGGACAGAAATTGCTCGGCCTTGTGAGAAGTATCTTTAGATATTTCATTTCTTCTCCTTCCAATTAGCCCATCACCGAAAATGTGTTCGATTACAGAAGTTCTGTTTTGAATTTGAGGATATCTATGCCAGGAGCATGTTGCAGTTAGCCTCATCACTTGGTCACCAAAAGACAGAAGTGCTGTTGTCTGTTACCAGGATGTTGAGGTTGATTTGAACAGGACTACTATTACTGAAGGAGTCAGACAAATTATATAAGGTAGAACCTGAATAGGACTTAATTTTACAGAAAATGAATATATTTTATGTTATTTAAGATAATAATTGACCTGCAGCCTGTTTGGTCAGATTCTAAAGAAGAGTGTGAAAGCAGGTCTAGATCAACTTGGCTCTAAACAAGCTTTTCAGTCAACACATGACAGAACAATTAAACCAACTAGAATTAGCCAGAAATTACCAGTACAATTGCTCAAACAGGATGGGCTAAGCAATGCTTTATAGACTGGCTGGAACAAAACAACATTCAGGTTAATCTGGTAAGTATGAAAAGAGCTCTGCTGAACCTGATATTGCGATGGTTTTATGGCTCCAACTGTAACATAAAACACCAAAAATTTTGTGGAGAAAGGAGCTGGAAATATTAAAGCACATTTGGTACAATGTTTGGAGCTTCTTTGCTATATGTAATTCTGTACTTTGCAGAACTGTGGTATAAAAGCAATAGAACACTTGAGGTCATGAGTTGTTGCAAATAACATCAAAGCTGTGATGACCTACTGCACTCAACTTCAGTTCCTGCCTTCGACCAATTTCATAGCCGTGATGTTAACACTCTCCTTCTCGTCCTCTATTGCTTAAATCACAGACTTAGCTCGAGGGGGGTGGGGCGGGGGGCTGGATTTATCTGTGTGGCCTGCTCTTATAAGCTCCGGCTAACACTAAAGTGAGCTGCAGGGTGTTGTACTTTGATAAACACAATCACCATTGCTATTCATGAGACAAAACACGACCGTGTACAAACAAGTTTTCACAGCCCTGCAGAGCTGTCAGTCACAAACAGCCCTCCAAACACAGAGTATGACAACACAATTATCAGCCTTTAATTAAGTTCAAACCACTCACATCCAATGCAATGGTTGTTTAAGTGTGTGTGTGTGCTTGCATTCGTTGCAAACTGCTTAGGTGAGGTGAAGAAAATAAGGCTTTATAAGAACTATAAAGTTCTTATAAACTTTATAGTCTATAATAACTCTATAATAAGAACTTGTCATTGGGAACATTAATGAGATGGGTGTAGCTTGATATCAGTACTGCAAACTTTCAGAACAAAGCAGACAGAAAAGAGAAAAAGCGAGAGAGGCAGCAATGACGGAGAGATCGAGAGTTGAGTCCTTGACTGAACAGCAAAAGTGCTGACACGGGGTGCCACCAGTGAACTGTCTATCAGTCTGCCTGGATTGCAACTGAGATAAACTAGCTTTTGCTCTCTAATGATTCTGAGTAAATGTGGCATACCCATGATAAAGCTTTGTGCGTCTCTCTGCCGTGCCCGAGTGACTGATTTCAGCTTCACAACTTCATTACCGGCACCAAGGACACACTTGCAGCCAGGCCCATACCTCTCCATGCGCTCCTCTCCAGCTCGCAGAGCCCTGGCCCCAGCTCCTGACAGCCCTGGCAGAAAAAGAGAGGGGCGCAGGCCGTGCAGGCAGGCATAAAAACCAATCACCCTGCCAATGGAACGCACAGAATTAATCTTCCATTGCCTCCTATTTCATCTGGGGGCTTGCAGCCAGCAGACACTGGTGGATGTAGCATAATTGGTGAATGGTAGCCATAGCTGAAAAGAACACAAGCGCAATTTTGAGGTCACATCCACTTTTGTTCATGCCACTCTGACCTGGGTAGGGCTTGTAAACCTGCCTGTGCTTCTCCAGCTGAGGAAATATTAATTATTGATTAAAAACCTCTTATTCTCTAAGTTTTAGATGCCCCAGCCATCAAAAAATAACCCGCTTCCATAAGGAAACCCAAGTCAGCTTGCACGCAATGCAAAAGTTTGGTTTGGCACATCACAAAGAAACTACAGATAAAATACTACACAAACTACTCAGTCATGTGACTCTTATCTATAGCTTACGTCACCTGCTCAGTCAGAGTTTCTCCTGAAATCAAGGGTATTAAAAGGGAGTTTGTCCCACTTTGCTGCAGTAACAGCCTCTACTTATCTGGAAAGTCTTTACACTAAATGTTTTAAGATTGCTGTGAGGATTTGATTGCACCCACAACAGCATTAGTGAGGTCAAGTAGGTAGTGATGTTGGATGATCAGTAGTTCTGGATCACAGCACATCCCAAGGGTATTGGATGGAGCTCCATCACTCCACAGAACTGCTCCACAGCCCACTGTTGGGGTGGGGGTTGGTTATGGTGACCTTAGGCTCATGTGCAGCTGCTCCAGCGTGCCCCATTCTACTGTTTTTCTATGGGGATTATGCAAGCTGTACAGTATGTGAGTATTATATACTTGTTTGATCCTAAATGACATATTACTTAGAATCATTTCTGTCAAAACGTCCAGTATTCTTGCTCATTCCAGATCACATTCAAAATTATGCTTTAATTTATCCAGTAACACATTTAATTTCACGCATTCTTCTGATAAAACTAAGGTGTGTTTATTTTTATTGTGCACAAGGATCCAAGGCACAGTGTAAAAAGGGCAAGTAAATCAGTAACTGACATAAATACCTGAGATGTTACATTCTTTGCTAGGGCTGGGAATCGATCCTAAAGAGTCGATTCTCCAATTCAAGGCATTTGAGAATTGAGAATCAACTCTAAAGCTTTGCACTCAATTTGACACAGTGATACCTAAGACTGCCCACCCCTGCACGAACATTGAGAATGAGATGACACACATTAACACTGTGCAGGTTAGCTAGGTTAAGTTAGAGTTAGCTCTTCAAACTGCCTTACAAAGTTCTAACTGGTCATAGAAAAAATGACATTTTGGCTACAACCACACTGAATAATATGTCAAAACAGCCCAAAATTTTTGTGCAATGTTTGTGCGGACTGAGGGCCAAAACAACAAAACAAAATGCAAATAAAGAAGGTATAGGAAAGTTTCCAAAACATTTAAAATGTTATTTATATATTCATTTATATAAATACTTTAAAAAATACAATTTTAAAAGGAAAAAAATGTTTCTTCTTTCAGTGATGGAGCAGCGTTAGTGGGCCACTGTACCACTGTAGCCGTGCTGTCATTTTGTAGTCAGTACCATGCTCTTATGCCCATATTAATAACTCCGGGTCTAAGCTCAATTTCTCTATGGCCAAAATGAATAGGATTTTCGAAAAATTGCCTCTATCGCACCCTGTGGTAGATAAAAGGGAAGATGGAAAAAAAGACACGAAAAGGTGCAAGTTTCCCTGCAGTTCTCTGTTCTTCAACTGATACTGAAACACCATAGATCGTTCTGTACACAGCTTGATTTGAAAAGCTCTACAAACTTACCTGTACTCATGCTAATTTAGTACAGGCTCAACTTAATATTACTGATACCCCCGATAAGCTAATTAAGGCTAGCAAAAAATCCTTTATTTTTTATTATTTTGATGCTGGTAACATTTTCTGAGGACATTTTCTCATGACATTTGCCAGCTGCTTGTTTGACTTTTCCCATTCCACCTTAAATGGTGCGGGTAGAACGGGAAAATTCGAACAAGCCGCTGGCGAAAAAGAAGCCGACTTCAGCTTCATGGAGAGTTTAAAGGCATTATATGAGGAGGTTTGTCTATTTCTGCTTGACAGCTGAGTAACATTAACTTATGTTTGCTGTTTCACAGAACCAACAGGTCAGTATTGTGTTTGCTAATGTTTGTGATGGCTAATCACAACTGCTGCACCATTTAAGGTGGAATGGGAAAACTCGAACAAGAAGCTGACGAAAAAGAAGCTTAATTCAGCCTCGTAGTTTTAACACTGATAGTATTTTTTTTGATAATGGAGTTTTAGCCTATCAAAATATCCTACCTAGAGCTTCTTGCAGGCATACCTGTAAATATGCGCTACGGCAGAACATTTTGATAAGGTAGCACAACTTGCTAGAAAACCGCCATAGCCCACCTTAGTTTTGTGTAGCTTAGGCTACCTTTACACAGCAGGTAAAAGTGGCCCAAATCCGATCTTTTCCTCAAATGTGACACACATGAGTCATCTGTGTGGCTGTGTAAACAGCAAAAAACGCACTGAATCTGACAATTTCAATTCCGATTTGAGACGCTTTCATATGTGGTACTGAAATCCGATACGTATCCGATCTGCGGCAATGCGACTCAGTCTGAACAGCCAGATCGGAATTCATGCGACTTTTACGTCAATCCAGCTCTACATTCGTCATAATTAAGGGCAAAACGTACCGGGTTCTGAACATTATCTACCACAGGGTGCGATGGAGGCGATTTTTCAACAACCCCATTCATTCTCGTCAGAGAAATCGAGCTTAGACCCGGAGCTCCTAATATAGGCATTACACGGAAAGACGTGTAATGCCCATATTATACAGAAAGACGCATGGCTACAGTGGTCTATAGTAGTGAATTTATCAGTGCAGTATGTATAGCTTTTGTGGCAGCACAAAGTTAATAGGACAACATCCCTTGTGATTCATACCAGCAAACATGATAGTGTATTGTACCTAATACTGCACTCAGATTTTTGGAATTGGGAATCGGCTCTTGGAATCGACTCCACGCCATCTATCGCCTGGAATTGAAATCGGAGTCGACTCCAAAATTTCTGGAATCGAACAGTTCCACTCTTTGTACTCTGTACCGTGGCTCACTGCCAACCCCTGCACGGACCCCATTGGTTCAGTTGACTGCACTACTCACACACCTACTGTTCGAAGTTTTGCAAGTGCGGAAACAGCGCCCGTTGTCGACGTGGAGGGAGACTCAGCGGCTTGAGCTCGCGCGATTTTGCCACAGTGGTGCTTCATGCAGGACTGACTTGTTCGTCAGAGCTGTTCGCTCGAAACAGAAGCAATGGACACAAGCGAGACACAGTCCTGACCTGGCCTGTCTGGGTTTCTTTCCCCCAATACGTTCTCCTGTGTGGCCGCTGAAATCATGGATGGCAGGAGCGAGTTCGGGCCTGTAACTCGCAGCAGAAGACGCGCCACTATTAGCAGCACCAAAGGTGAACTACTGAAAGGGGCCAATGGAGTCACCTCAGCCAGCGCCAGCAAACCCGGACACAAGAGACGAGGCTCACACACGAAGGACTCAGCGGAGGAAACACGAAAAAGTAGCCACAATGATAACATGAAGTGAGTATGAAGTACTGGCTGTTCGTTTTCAGTTCACCTGAGATGTTTTACCCCATGGCTTTGAGTGAATCCCAAGCTGTGGTGCACACAGGACGAGGAAGGGAGGCGTTCACTCTCACACAAACCTTACTTTATCTTGTTTCTTAGGGCAGCTTCAACTTCCTATTCAAACCGCCTAAATATATCCCAGATCCAAACTTCTGTTTTTTTTCCTTTTAGCTAAATAGATGCAGATGTGGGTTGTGGGAGTCTACTCAAGTAAAAGTAGTTACTTCAATGAAATAATGGCTTATGTAGAAGTAAGAGTGGCCTCCCAGAAACAGCTTGAGTGGGAGTAAAAAATTGTACCAGCAGAAGAACTGAAGCCACTATTTTTCTCTTTTTCGGATCATTTTGGTCTAAAATATAATCCTAAAGGAAAAAAAGAATTCGATTTGACTGGAATGGTTAAAATGGGGCAAAATTATAGTTGTATAATACTTAGTATTAGGATAAGTGATTATCATTTGATAAAACTCTGAATAGTGCAAATATATTAAAGCTGTACTTGAATACATGGATTTTTGTTACTGCCCACCACAACTGGTAGTAAACACATTTATACTAGATCAGATTCCTGACCCTGGAGTACATTTTAGTGTTTCTCCAGCTCACAACGCACCTACTTCATGTCATGAATTGTTTGTTAATGAGCTGATTGCTTGGATCAGATGCATTGAGATCAGGGGAAACTCAAACGTGCAGGGAAGGGGATAATCCAGGACCAGGGCTGGGAACCACTGCCGTAAACCATTATGTTGATGTTGCTGGAACAGATCAGATGCAGCAGGTGTTTGATGTACTGCTAATCTTACTACATACCTTCATTATGACCAATGAAAACTGACATCTGTTAAGTCTGTTAAGTAGATGGACTGACTCAGTTACGCTGTGATTTTGTGTAGCAGCCAAATCAATATGGTTTTATTGTCTGATTAGTATGCGTGATCCAGATCACATAACCATATGTGTAGCTGTTTTTTCACTGATTGCTTCACTTTGTTTCTTTCCACAGTTGCCACAAGCAGCAAGAGTCCTTGCTCAGTTCTGCTAGTGGCTTCAAAAATTACAGAGGCATTCTGAACTGGTGTGTTGTCATGCTGGTGAGTCATATTCATAAGAGGATGTACTCTTACACATACACGTACATGCCAGTATTCTAACTGATCCAGAGATTTGTAAGAACCTCACAGTTGTGTGACAGTAACCTGGATCTACCTGAAATGTAAGAGTAAAAATCACACTTACATGCGCCAGCTTGTCTCTCCCTTCCTGTTGTAACAATGTCAATACATGTTTGCTACCACTGTTGCCTCATTCTTGTACATGAGTCACGTAGTCCCTTGTTTCATAGCTATGGCTGCTGATATTTGAACACAGCTACTGTGTTCAGGCCTCTCAGTCTGATGAAGGTGAGGCTGCACTGTTGTATCATATGGTATCCAAGATCCAGGAACTGCTTCAGCTCTGTATTGTTTCTTGTAGGGCTGGTCTGTGTGACAGTATGTTATCAATAGTATGATAAATTACTTCACTTTGTGCTTTTCTAAGTATATCATGGATATCATCAGTACTTGTAGAACATTGAAACACTTCAAGGATCGTCAAAAAGGCCAATTTCAGAGAATCTGTTAACAATAACCACTGTATAGTAAGTACACAAATTCAGTTGTATAATGTAGCTGATTAAATGTAAACCCATTATCATTATCTTTTAAGTTATTTACCAGTTTAGTTGTCCTTCTTTTTCTGTTTTTGCTAAAGTTGCATTCAAAACAAGAAAATAGTCTAATCAAAACATATATGGCAGGTTTGTAAGACATTCCTTTAGAGTAGCAGCGCTTAATAAAATAAATAATGTGATATTGAATTGTATCAATATTACCTAACACTATGTTGAATCAGAAGAATTGAGTGTGTTTTTTTTTTTTAATTCACACTAGGGCTAGGCGATATTGACATTAGGCGATAATTCAATAATACAATACTTTCAAAAATTTATTGGAATTATTTGTCAAATATATTGATAAAAATATTGGCAAAACTAAAGAAAGCAATATAGTTTTAGGTTAGTATCACAGTATACCAGTATAGATGATACATTGCCCAGTCCTAAATGAAGCTACAGTTTTTCTAGTGCATTTTGTTGACAGTTTGTTTGTGAACATCAGAAAAACAGAACACTTCAAACCTGTCATCTATCATGAAAGCATCTTCAAGTACAGTGAGCTTATTTTTTGTCATATCATCCACCCTTAGTTCCTAACAATGTAACAATGGCTTTTCCACAGTTTAGGTGTAGCTGTGTCAGTACTTGCAGCCCAGCTGAAACCAGGGCCACACTGGAAAACAGTAAAGCCATCTCTGATGGATGTCTCCAATAACAATTTACACAAACTACCTTTGATAGTGTAGAGAGTTTTTTTGTGTAATTTGAACCTCTAGAAGAGTTCTCGAGGGTATGACATTGCACAAGTCCTGAAGGATTTTTCCATACCACTGCAAATCATTAGAAAGAATGATATCAGCTGTTCTGGTCCATCGTAAAGGATGGATGCATTAGAGGTATTGTAGCAATGCATTTAAAGTTAAAACATTTCATGATTAAAGTGTTAGTTGATCTTGCTGAAGTACATGGCACCGTATTCACTTGGCACTTGATGAATCATTGTTCTGAGTGTCTGTTTGGGGGACACAGTTAGTGCCAAGTGTCACCTAAAAATAGATTGCCTGAAACAACTTCTCTGTCTGAACCCGAGCTGAAAGACACTAGCCAAGCTCTTGGTTTCAAACTGCGAAGGATGCCTTAGCATTTTTCAGCCTGCCGTTGAGACTAGAAACAAGTGTAGATTTATAGACCCTTGGACCTTTTTTCTGATAGGCCTGTGAAATAAAAGTTACTGTGTTGATGATTTAAATTTTTGGTGATTTTATTGGATGCCTTAAGTACGACCTTGTTGTGTAAGGATTAAGCCTCTGATTTTGTGCCCCTCAATTTATCCTTTATTATGAGGTTATTGCATGGTCAGCAGTATTCATCGTTTGGACTGAGTATCTCTAGTCTCTGTGAAGCTATAGCACTCTTGGCCAACAGTCTGACCTTTAAATCAATGACTAATGTCTGATTTTTTTATTATAGTACATACTACAAGAAGTAATATGACTGTTACTGATACTATACTGTTAATACTAGATTAATAATAATGCATTATTTTCATATGTTTCCATGTAACTCCTCTTTGCTCTTCCTGTACTGCAGGTATTGAGCAATGCACGTTTGTTCTTGGAAAACCTTCTCAGGTATGTATGTTTGACATATAGGACCAGTTTCCAGAAAACTGATTTATTGTTATTGGGCCTTCTTCATTAAAACTCTTTTTGGTCTCAGACTGGCTTCAGAGAGAGAGAGAGAGAGAGAGAGAGAGACATTGTGTTATGAAAACCACTCTCACAGTTGCTCCAGTTACCATATGTCCAGCTAGGACTTAAGTATTAAGTGTTATGATTGGTATAGCAGAGATGTTTAGGTTGCTGGGTGGCTCTGCCAGGGAGAAGTGCGCATAGGCCCGGCTCTCACGCAGTGGAAATGTTGAACCCCATGCTGAGGGCACCATATGCTGCCATCATGTTATACACTGCTGCATGCAAGCAGCCAGTTTCCAGCTGCCAGCTCGAATCAAAGGCATGTGCAGCGCTGTGAACGATTTCACATGCAGAACAAACATTTACGAGACGCAGTTAGAGCAGATGTGCAGCAGAGACAGGTAGGGGCAGGTAGTTGTTTATAGTAGAAGACAAAACAAGACACAAGCAGATGTGTAATAACTCATTCAAGAAGCGATAGTATAAATAGTATATGAAGAAAATGCTAAGTGTAGTTTAATATATTTGGAAGTATAACAAACTATATGAGTGATAAATTCTCTGAATGTAAATTGGGGCTGCACGATATTGACATAAACTGTGATGTTCGATAAAGCTAATGTGTGTCTGGCTGGATGTTACGCAAGCCTCTCTTTAAACCCCTCTTTAAGCAAGTAGAAAATAGAAGATCACAACAGCACCATTTACTATTCAGCAAAATAATGAAATGAAATACAAACAATTGTTAACATCAGAACTGCAGTGAGAAACAGTCAACATTATTTTTTTACTCAACAGATTTTTAAGACCATAAAACCACATATATATATATATATATATATATATATATATATATATACACACTATATATACTTACACATTATATATATATATATAATATTGATATATATATATATATATATATATATATATATATAATGAACTTACAATATATACAACGAACATTGATATATATACAATGAACTTTGATATATATACAGTGAACTTTGATATATATTGAATGAACATTGATATATATTGAATGAACATTGATATATATTGAATGAAAGTCACTGTTGAAGCGTTGAGGATGGCCACATGATATAAAAGTATATGCGTGCCTGGTTGTATTTAGTTTAAAAAAAGCTGTTCTTCCTTTTGGTTGAGTGTAGTTAGGCCCTGTGTCCTGAGTCCAGGGCTTTTATTTTGAAGGACTCTGCCGGGGTGTACGGTAGCAAGCTTCAGTAGCTCAGCTGGCTAGTAGAAAAACAGTAGAGCCTGAGCTAGCCTGTGTGCTGCATGTTTTCCCCTTTGTGTCACACTGTTTTGAGTTGAATTTCCTTTAAAGCCAATAATTTAAGGTCTCAGTGTTTGTGTTTTGTGGTTGGTCGAATGGTGAAGTTACTCGTCTATCACGTGGGACAGCAGGATTTAGTCCCAGCGCAGAGAAGCAGGCTTGTATTGGTTTGGGCCGGTAATGTAATGACACCTGTCTGTAGCAGCATGTGTGAGGTAATTAGATCTGTTGTGTCATCGCTGCTCTAACAATGTAAATATTGTGGGAACTAATTTCGCAATAACGATAAAATACAATTTATCATGTAGCACTAATGAAAATGCACTATTTGTCTAAAAGTTCGTGGACAACTCACCCAACATTTCTTCCAAAATCAAGGGTGTTAATAGGGGGTTTGTAACAGTAACTACTTCTACTCTTCTGGGAAGGATTTACACTAGATGTTGAAAAATTGCTGTGAGGATTTGATTGCATTCAGCTACAATAGCATTAGTGAGGTCAGGTTCTGATGTTGGATGATCAGTTCTGGATCACCGTCACCACTCCAGCTCATCCCAAAGGTATTGGATGGAGCTCCATCACTCCAGAAAACGTAGTTCCACTGCTCCACAGCCCAGCGCTTGGGGCTTTTTACCCCTTGCTGATGCATGGCATTGGGCATGGTGACCTTATCCTCATGTGCATCTTCTCTAGAGCATCCCGTTTTATTGTCAGTACTTCTCTAAGGAGATCATACAGACTGTCTGCACAATTGAAAGTTTGTGTCAGGAGTGGGTGCACCCTAAAGTAGCTGAATTCATTAATTAGATGGGGTATCTACAAACATTTGGAGGCGTAATTTGACCTTAGAATCAATTAATAATGTCTGATTCTTCATTATAGTAATTACTGTAAGAAATAATATGACTTTTACTGTTTACTACATTATAGTGTGTATGTCTAAATAGCTATTTTATTTTATTTGCTCTGCATTGCATTGTTTTAAGGTATGGCATTCTGGTGGACCCCATTCAAGTGGTATCTTTGTTCCTGAAGGACCCCTATAGCTGGCCTGCTGCATGCCTCATCATTGGTATGTGAACTAATATCTTGCACTTCAGAACATTTATCTAGAAGTTACAATAAGACTAACTTAAGTCTTTTCTTTTAGTTTAGAATGTTAGTGACAGCTCATGGTGTATAGGCAAAAAGGCAGAGATTTAAGGTGAATAAGGTATTCAAATATAACAGTCAGTGTTGTAGTAAAATTGATTATGATTAAGATTGAATATGACTATGGTTAAGACAGTCAAATGAAACATAAACCTACAGAAGGGTGTCTTTTGCAGCTTGTAAAAGTGACAGGTGAAGAACTACAACAAATATCTGAAGGGAGTAACTACTTTCATACTCATAGATGCAAAAAGTCGCTTTGACAACCTCAGTTTGATTCTTGAATTCACACGCAGCAGCATGAGCCGACTGCTTAGCAGCTTGTGAAGTTATGTTTGTCAGTAAAAAGCTGTTGTGTAAAAACTGTGTTTCCAAGAGAAGCCATTCTGTTTCAGTAATGTGCTTCAGAAGAAGTTATTCTGTTACTGGCAGAAGCGTCCTCGAGTTAGTTCAGAAGGAAGAGACAGTGTTTCTGTTTTCCTGCTTGTCTTTACTCCTCTTAGCTTCCACTGAGCACACTTCCAGCTCTGTGGTTGTCTTGGCTTACAGTGGGTGTAGCAGCGATGTTATGTGTCACTGCTTGCCACACATATGGTTTGTGTGTGCGTCTGTCTAAATGCGGACATGTGTGATCCTACTGTCATAGGGTTCATTCTGAGGGCAGAAGGTTGACACTGATCTGATTGATATTATATTGTATTGCTGCTTAGGCCTTTGTTACAGGCATATTAAAGCATGTTAAGTTCATTGTGCTCTTGAAAAGTAATTAATGTGAACCTGATGTAATTTAAGAATCATTAGTAAATAAATAAATAATTCAATTCATTTTTCTTTAAAATGTCAAACAAGACTGTGTTTTTAGTTTGTTTCCCAAAGCAAGGTTATTGAGGGATTTATACAGTATGAGGTGTATAAATGTAGAGGTTGTTATCTAAACATGGATATGAATTAGATGATGATGCCATTATAAGGATTCATAACATTGGCTTTATTCAGTAAGAGTGGCAAGAACTTACAGCATGTTAAAAATTGTATTTGTGTCTGTTTAGGCAACGGCTGACAGCACTATTGTATACATTTATTTGTTATATCATTAAGTCGCTCCATAGGAAATTACAAGAGAAAACATAATCATCAGCAAGCCTTTGCCAAATTGTATGTAACTGCTATGTAATTCTCTCTCTTTCAGCTTCAAATGTCTTTATTCTTGTGGCACTGTACACCGAGAGGAAATTAGCCATGGTGGGTTCATCAGCTACACTGACACTATTATAGAAATTAAAGCTACATGTTTGGCCCCGTGGGACATATTAGAAAGTTATGAATATAGATATGATGGTTATGAATACAAATTTTCAATACGCTTTGAGAAATTAAATATCAACAATGATTTTTTTTGTCCAGGGTACCTTCAGTGAGAAGCTTGGCCTGCTGATTCACATTATCAACCTAACAGTTATCTTGTGTTTTCCAATGCTCACTGTGCTCATAGTGCCTTCAGTAACACCAGGTGAGATATGCACTCTCATACACAGACTAGCACTATTGCTTCCTCTTTGGTCCGTTTCTAACTAGGCAGCTGTTATGGGAGTGTTCTGTTTGCAGATTCAGTGATTTCCTTATTACATTCTAAGGCTTATTACTCAGTAATTACAAGCAAAACAATGCAAACTGGCCGAGTTACTCTTAAGTTATAGGAGGAAGGCCTGAAAGCCTCAACCAGCTGACGGGTGGTGGCCATTTAAGCGGTCTAGAAACTAGCCACAGCTAATCCATCTCTAATCCATAAACATGTGATTTCCAAACAATGTATTCTTTATACAGTAGATTTAACACTCATGTAACACAGCGATTCCCAACTGGACATACTCATATCCAAGGGAATACATGAGCAGTTACCAGATGTTATGAGACATGAAAAAGAAAAGAAATGAAACTATTATGTAATTCTAATTATGAACAAAATATACAAAATAAAAGTACAAATATAGAATGAAATTGGTGTGCTGTTTATTTCTAGGGCATGACAATAATGCAGTGTCAGTGCAAAGCAGGTGGCTCACTGGCTTGTGTTATAAAAATTTACAACTAAGAGAGGCATGAAAGGCATTTTATCCAGTTGAAAACGATTATTAAATGTGTAATAACAATAATATAAAATTTAATATTAGTTAAATTGACAAATTTCAGAATAATATTGTTTTGGTGTGGACGAGGGGATTATTCAGGTATATTTAAAGGGCAAGGGCTATAGGAGTACATAAGAAAAATGCAACCACTGATGAAAGAGGTGGCACCAAGACTTGTACATCATTTCAAAATGTGCCTTAATCACAGTAAAAGATTTGCTGTGAATGCATCAAATGGATCCACAATGGATGTGCGAGCAATGAATGGTTATGTTATATAATGTGTTATAGTCAAAAGACTGATAAACTTACATAGCCCATATCATAAATACATGAATGTTTGTGCTGCATTTTTAAGCATCATATGAAGCTAATATCAAGACCTCCCACAGCCTGTCTTGTAGGGTATGTACTGCCTCATTTCCTTTGGTCCATACCTTTTTCTGGCACTACTGTTCCTTCTCATCTGTTAGCACGACGGGAGGTGACAAAGACACTCCATCTGTCGGGGTTGTGCCTCGCACCACCCTCCTGTATCAGACAGTAAGGTCAACGAAGAGGCCACCAGGGCTGCTGCTGGCATTAAAGCCCAGCCCGAGTGGCTCTCTCTGGTGCAGAGTTGTCCTCCAGAGCCCCTGCACGCACCATTTCCACCCAGCATATGGCTGCTATTGATAAAGCAGTAGTGGGCCACATGCATGCATGCAGTGCCAGGATTGGGGATGGAGAATGAGTTTAGACAAGTAAGGTTGTGGGAATGTTTATGCTGTATGGCTAGTCTTGTTTCATTCTTCTGGAGTTCTATAGTGCCCCAATGGAGTGAAGTGGAATCTGACTCCACTGCACACGGTATTCAAACATTCTGAATGTGATTTGCATTAGCTTACCTCCCTCACAATGGATGGCCTTTTTTCCTTGTGTGTGTGGGGGGGTGATCTGCAGCTTAGCTTTATGTGTATATTATTGTGTAATATTATACTGCCATAATGTCTGTTTTTGGTTGTGTAGTTGGTGGTGTGTTTGCACTGGGAATCTACACCATCCTGTTTCTGAAGTTGTACTCGTATAAAGATGTGAACAGGTGGTGCCGAGAGAGGCTGCAGGTGAAGGCCCGTGGTCTGTCCAGATCATTGTCATGTGAGTACACTGACTGTCCTCTAGGCAAGGACTACTTGCACTCTCTCTGCTACTGACCATACTGACTGACTAGTTAATTACCATTCAATTCAGTTACATTTTACAGTGGAATGCATAATCAAACAAGGTTGTACAGGTATGAAAACAGTGTTATTATACCAAGCAGCCAGACTACAGTTTTAGTTATTGGGACCCAAAACCCGATACTATACACATAATGGTCTGTTTGGTCAACTATAAGCGACTTGTCAAATATCATTTTGTGTGCACATCTCCATTCTACTAATGTGCTTGATGAAATGTCTCTCTGACTTTTGTCAAATGACACCTGTGACCCAGTTTTTTCAGGATTTGTTCTCTCCATCTGGCCAGAGAACTGTAGTCTTCTGAAACAAACTTGCTGTGCCAAGTCTGTTCAGACAGGTCATTTATTTTGCCCTTTGCCAGCCTAAATAAAGCCTGCACTTTATTGCTGGACAGAATTTGAGGCTCATATCAACCTAAGTTGACACAAAGCCATATAGATTTCACCACCTGAGGACAGCAGAAAGTTGCAGTTGCAGATACATTTGTTTTTCATACTTAAAGATGAGGTCATCAGTTTTGGTAAAAGTTTGCTGAAGCTTTCTGTTTTGAAACAATCCCTCCCTTTAAGCATTCCATTTAGAGCCTCGCTCCCAAAACACAAGCTGACTGGGCTAGAATACCTGGATGTTGGTGCTAGCTTAGTTGTAACTGATGGTCAGAAATAAAATAACATCAACACAGTTAATTACCTAGCTAACACATGAGCTACGGATGACAGCACTATTGTATACACTCTTGTTTGTTTAAATCCCTTCGAGCTGGAATATGTCAGAATTGATCATTTTGGTGAAATCTTCTGTGCCATAATAGTAGTTCACTTGTTATAAAGCTAGGCTGTGGCCCCCTCACTGTGTGCTGAGGACACATGATTGCCATGAGTAGATAAATAACATTGTCCTGTTTGGTCAGATAAGGGTGGTCCACTTCATTTGGTTTTTTTTCTCCAGTTTACAGAGCCTGCTATAGTCAGAAATTGTTTTAAGAGGCCTCGATTCTGTTTAGGAATTGATGACCCCACCTTTAACCCTTACATCTCCTACAATATTATAATACCCTGCAGCAGAAGTACAACAGCAGTGTCAGGTGAAAGGGCAGGCACATTGATGTCAGTAGCTCTCCAGTAGAGTTTGAATCAGCAGTCCATAAGTTGCCAGCATAGAGCCAATTACTGCTAAGGCAGTGCCGCCCACATTTCCTCAGACCTGCACAGGAGTAAATGAACTCATATCCATTCACATGTCCCCTGACTGTCCTTGCATACGACAGGTCCATCTCCTCCATCGACTGACGGAGCAGTGTATGTGTCTTACCCTGGAAACCTCACTTTCAAAGGTAAGTAATTGGACTTTCACCTTGACTGTGCCATTATTATATACAATAATGTTAGATTTTACATTTGTAACCTCTGTATTTTCTCTGGTGCAGAATGTGAAGAGTCACTCAGTTTTATCTCTCTTTAATCTTCCAGATTTGTATTATTTTGTTTCCACTCCCACTTTGTGCTATGAGCTGAACTTTCCTCGTTCTCAGTCCGTGCGTATGGGTTTCCTGCTCAGGAGGCTGTTTGAGATGGTAGGTAAAAACCTGTTTCTTTTCAGATGCTTCTTTAAGTGGACAAAAAGATATGATACCTATTGTCAATATGTCTATGTGTCTGTTACAGTTACTTCTCACTCAGCTGTTGGTTGGCTTAACACAACAGGTAATTATCATATTGTTTTGCTAACAGTGCACTCTTAAAAAAAGGTGGTTCCTCAAGGGTTCTTTACAGTTACGATGTGAAGCTTGTCACAGTAGAAGAACCCTTTTTTATATATATAGAACCCTTTTCAAAAAGGTGCTGTATAGACCATCTGCACCACATTCTCCATCAGTCTGAAGAACTCTTTCACCATGCAAAGAACCGTTTAATCATGCAGAGGGTTCTTTGAGTGTTCATGGTTCTAGATAGAACCATTTTCTTTACTAAAGAACCTTTGAAGAGCCGTCTTTTTTAAGTGTGATAGGGTAAATGAGAGGTGAAATATGTTTTGGTCAGTCGTATGTAAAGGCTTGAATATCCCTGGTCAAATCACATGTTTTGTTTATTTTCTGTGTGAAAATAAGTTAATATTTGTCTGCAAATTTTAGTGCAAAATTTCTATGTATTTGCTGAGTTTAACATATTGGGAAAAAATAAAATGTGCCATAACTTTCACACAGGCCACATTTTATGTTTAATTTAACTTTTTTTTCTCTGTAGAGGATGTGTTAACTTATTTTTGCTTAGAAAAACAAAAGATATAATTTAACTTGTGCTGCCCAAACTTTTACATATGATTATATAAGTGTTTGGATTTCATATTTAGCTCATATTCTTGTGGTGTTTTCTGTTGTTCCTAAGTGGATGGTGCCAATCATCCAAAGTTCAATGAAGCCACTGCAGGTATGCTGTTCTGTTCTGATTGTTCAGTCACTGTTTCTTTTCTTAGCAACAGCATTTAGAGCTTTTAATTAACCTGCATTTCTTATACCTTGATGCTTAAAAGGACATGGATTACTCCAGAATGATTGAGCGCCTGCTCAGGCTAGCTGTAAGTACAATGCTTTGATTTTGCATTAACAGTATGAGCAAAAAAAAAAAGGCATAAATGAATAAAAAAATCAATACAAATATCAATAAGTATCCTCTTTCCTTAACACCAGGTACCCAACCACTTTCTCTGGCTGATATTCTTCTACTGGTTTTTCCATTCATCTATGAATTTTGTGGCTGAGCTTCTGAGATTTGGAGATCGAGAATTTTACAGAGACTGGTGGTATGTCAGTTATTAGTTTATATAGATGTTTATGGTATATTTGTTGGGGTTTGTATCCCATGGCATATTAGTTTTGGTCTGTAACATTCATACTGACTAGATTTGTGAGATCTGATTCAAAAATTTGCATACTTGTATGTTTGTGTGTGTACATGTTTATATAGTAGCTGCTTCACAGCTTCATAGTGGTTCTGAAGTCTGCATTTTTACATAATTTCTTAAATGCTGTCCAATTTCTTTTCAGGAATGCAGAGACTGTAACATATTTCTGGCAAAACTGGAACATCCCTGTTCATAAATGGTGCATTCGGTAAGTGACTCAAAGCTTTCCAATGGGTGTAGGCAGCTGCAGAGAAGCTGGATAAAATACAGTGCAGTGAGGCGTATACAGACTATAATGAAGAGACACTATAATGTGATCTGTCTGGCGCATTATGTATGGTTATTTACTGTGTTGACTGACTGTTTATTCTCTCTCTGTCTCTCTTCAAAGACACTTTTACAAGCCCTTGCTGAGAAAAGGTGCCAGCAAGTTAGTGAGCCAATCAGCAGTATTCTTCGCCTCAGCCTTTTTTCATGAGGTGAGGTGTACACAAATCAAGTGTTGTTTTGAATATTGAATCACATCACTTCCATTAAAGTTAACAGGTTGTGCAGGATAATAACTCGTGTGAAAACGGCAGGGCCCACAAGAAATGTAAATCCTCCGCCGTGAATGATTTTCTAGCTTATATGCTGTTACTTAACGGTATTTGTTAACATTTAGGGGTGCACAATCCTAATCAGCTAAGATTGTATTCGGCTGAGTTTTGTCAGTCGACCAATTCGTGTGGCTGTTTGTTTGTTTGAATGCTGATGCTTCACCTGTACCAAAATGTAGCATAAATGTACATGACTCATTGTGCTAAATAGCCACTTTTGATGTAGCACTTTATTTGATCCATGACATTTAATTAGACCACTCAATTTATGAATTTAAAATGCTAATTTGGTCCTTTAAAGATGAAATAATGTTATTGTTAATGTTATTGTTATTTTACATGTTATTCAATGTTTATGCATGTGTTATAAAGTCCCTGTGTAGGGATTTAAAATAAACTGGCAGTGAATATTTGTAATGTATCTTCCAAATTCTATCATAAAAACATAAAACTCAAAATGCAGACCTTTGAGATACTGAAAAACAATGTGTTATTGTATATTCTAAATAAAATAAACCTACCTCATGAAAGGGTTAAGTGTGGCCACTCCAGAGGCTGTGTGTCCCTTGAGGCGTAGAGGCAGGTGTGTGCAGTATTTGGCTGCTATCTGCTGCTCTTCAGCGCAGGTGAAGGTTAGAGCAGAGGGATGTAGTGGATGAGGAGTGGTGTAATGCAGCGTCGTATCACACTGCTGCTCTCTGAGATAAGCGCTGGTTTGAAAGGAGTGGACAGGAGAGCAGAAGAGAGGGTGTCTAAGCTACAGGTGCATCCAGATACCACAGTAAGCACACAGGCCTGTTCAGAAACGCTCACCTTCAGAGGACACCTCAGAACCAGCTCAGGCAGCACCGAGTAGAGAACCTGCAGTAAATGTGCTCTAGAACGCCTGAGTGCTGCACTGCACCACTAGATGCACCAAATCTAGAACAGAACCAGCAAGAGAATGTGTTGCCAGTTGTAATCAATTAGGTGGGAATACCAGAAGGTAGATTGCAGAGTTTGGATTAGTTTGGTCTGGAACTGGAACGTGACTCCATTTGCATAATTCGGAAAACTGAATGCAGAAGCCATTGGCTTTAAGTGTCACCATTTTTGTGTGGCTCTCTTGAGCCAACTGGATCCTTTCAGAAACATGAGTGTCCATTTTGCCATTTTGTTTCTTGGCACTGAATGTCTGGTCGTAATTGTCATTGCTTCTGTGTTTTGTGTTTGTATCTGAGCAGTATCTTGTCAGTGTGCCTTTGAGGATGTTCAGACTGTGGGCATTTATGGGCATGATGGCTCAGGTGAGAACTCTCAGCACTTACTGAACGAACATTTCTTCACTGTTGGAACAAAACCTTATTAAATAAAAAATAAAATAATAAAACCTGATTGTAATTTTTTTTTGTTACAAAATGTAAAAATGCCGGCTGCCCTGTACACTGTTTCTAAATTTCATGATAAATGGACCAATAGAAGAGATCCAAAATTCTTCTGACATAAATCTTGTGACTTTGTAAGGTAAATTTTTCCCCTTTCCTGTAAAGTTACCATTTTAGAGATTTATTAATTTAAGAACAAACAGTTATTACCTTACAGGATATGTGATGTGTTGGGGGACTATAATAAATGTATTGTCATATAAGTACTGAGCGAAGGTCTTGGGCATTCAAATTATTTAACTATTTTTGTAGGCAGAAGGCATGTTTTTTGCCTGTAAATATAACACATATAACCTTAAAATAAATACAAATTATCATAAACTTTGTAAAAGATAAGAAGAATGATTTCTTATTTAAAAAAAAATAGGAATTCCTTGAGGAAAGCTTTAGAAATGGTTAAACTAACACTAACACTAACTATTTGTGTACATGTATTTATTCTAATGTTATAGTTTGCTGTTTGTGAACAAATATATAGCTTACAGTACTATATATGTTCACAAAATTTTAAAATAAAAAATGTGTTTATTACAGCTCCCATTGGCGTGGTTTGTGGGCAGATTTCTCAGGGGTAACTATGGAAACGCTGCGGTGTGGCTGTCTCTCATACTAGGCCAGCCTATTGCTGTTCTTATGTATGTCCATGACTACTACGTCATCAACCACCTGGAGGAAGCAGCAGATCCAGGGGCACTGTAGAGCTGCAGCGAACCTGAGCCTCCATCCAAGACTCTCAGCTGACATCGCTGAAACTGCACCTTTTGATATATTTCTAAAAAAACAAACAAAAAGTACTCTTTATGGGGAACAATAGCCGTCCATTCTAAGGCCTGGAGTTCACTGGATTTAACACTGAAAGTGATGCCTTACTGAGAAAACATTGGATTCACTACCATAAAAATGTACTGTGTCTTTCTTTGTAGAGTTAAATGTTAAAATGCAAAGAACATATTTTTTTTAAAGAATGTGTTTAAGTGTAATTTATATAATATGAGGTACTTTTGCAAAGGGACAAAGTCTTGTACACAAACTGCCATTGTAGAGATTCTTTTGATTTATTTTACATGAGAAGACATTTTTAATTTAATTTTAATCTGTTAATTTTTAATGGAGTGGAATGTAGTTGTTTGTTTACCAGTGTAATCTGCCCCACTTTGAGCTCATGTGGGTGTGGAGTGAGAATTCAGATGCTTAATTGTGTGAACTCAACAAAGTCAGGGAGTGCCACCTACTGGTGTCTCATGAGACATATAAAGCCTTGTGAATGAAGCTCTTTGGCCATGTAATTATTCCTTTATGTGGAGACATTCATCAAACATAATTATATTCCACAGAATACCGGACGCGCTGTAATCTCCGACTGTGCTATTTTCTGCAGATTTGGTCCTTTTGGAGCCATTTGTTTTCGGGATGATGAGGGTGCCAGATCCAGCCCAATCAGTGCAAGTTTGTGATAAATGGCTTTGGAGATAAGTCCTATAATAGCTGCTGGTTGTACTGTATAAGCGTCCTATCAGCAGCGCAGTGACGCAGTCATGCTTTTAGACTCTGCACTATCTTAAAGGCTGATTGGATGCTACAGCACCATGCTCTGTTTAGAATACACTGCCATAGGCTCAAGGAGCACAGCGTTGGAAGAATGATTACAGTACAGGGAATCAATGCCATTGATGCAGAGATGCAGTTTATCTATTTAACCAGTAGGGCTATGCCTTACATCAAGTTTAGTGTATGTCTTAAAGTTTTGCAATTTAAGAGTATTGCTTGCCAACTCCTGTAGGTGGTGTAATATAAGGCCATAGAAAGAATGTGGACAGACTTTGTGTTTTGAGTTTCTTTTAAAGAAGTTCGATTTAAAGTTGCTCCAAGCTAAATAATATAATGTGTGCCTCTATGTGTTTACATCCTGTTTTCAAGTTATTTAGAAGCACATTTTTGTACTTTTTTGATAGTTGAAATGAGCATTTCTCACTGATCTTGAGGAGCATCATCACCTTTGTCAGTTAGGAGGATGTTAAGGGCCCATTTTTTCTAAGGCTGAACGATGTGGGTACAATATCTAATTCTAGCACATATTGTGTGCCGACAAGACCAGCCATTTTTTCAAGCTTGTGACTTCACGAGCTCTGTTGTTAGGTTAAATTAATCCATTTGAAACTTAAGACAAAAGTGAATAATGCAGCATCTAATATATTATTATTATTATTATTATTATTATGTAATTATATAATAATATAATTTTAGTATAAGATGATTATTTGTTCAGGTGTGCCATTTTACAACCTCTCTTTATCCCTTCGAAACAGTGTTTTTGTGCCTGTAACACTAATACATGTAAATGAATTTTGTTGTGATTGGTTGCATTGCATAGTGTCTCATTCAAAAACTAATTCAGTCTGAAACACTCCTTATAACCTCAGCATGAATAGGAGAAGCTAAACTGCTGTAGGCTGAAAAGGTGGACATATCATTGGATGTAAAAAATTCCCTTTTGAACAAACCAATAGAAATGGTCCAAAATTACTTCCAAATTATCAGAATTACCTCCAGTACAAGTTAAGAATGTTTTCTTCTCCTGTAAAGTTACTGTTTTTGAGGTACAAGGTTTTGTTCTGACAGCGACTGTATGTTTATGCGTTGGTTTTCAAGACATCCCAAAAGCGGTACATTTATAACGGGCTGTTTATGCAGACTTGTTTCCATATGGGGACTGTATGGTCAGATGACTGAAATGTACGTTTTGAAACAATGTTTATACACTATATCAAACTCATTTCAAGAAAAGCAAGAGAAATAGGTTTTGTCCATGATATGAGCCCTTTAACAGTTAAGAAAGACGTGAACTAGGCTCACATCTGTCTGACATAAAACAAAGAACTCTGTGACCTGAAAGTACAAATGATATTGGTGGTGTGAACGAAAAAGTCCATGACCATTCTAAAAGCGTATTTGTCTTCAAATGAATGTCATCTTGTAGTGAACTTTATAGTCCTCGCCTTAGAAGCTCTTCTAAACATCCTGAAGCACTCTCTTAAGCTTTTATCCCTTCCTGTTCGGAGCTGAGTGTGTCTTGTTGAGTCACAGCTCGTTCACTGCACTCAGGCGGAACAAGGAGTACCCTAGATTGTAACTTGGAGTCCCTATAACTGTTGGTGTATACAAAAGTTTAGAGGCTGGGCTGTGAGTGTAAATGGGTGCCAATGAAAGTGGCCCGGTTCACAGTCATGTGGTTTCAGTCAGTTTATTTGCAGGCTTCAGGGTTGAGGGCTTAGGGTGCCTGTCCCACCTGACAAAGATGGGCCTGTATCTGCACAGCGCTGATGGAAAGCAGGGGCTCGGGATATTCACTGTGCTAAAGTGGCTCAAGGAGGTGGAATAATTTTCCGCTCTGAGGTCAGCTGAGCGTTGTGCTGTAGTTTTTCATACCTCTGCATTAGAAAGAAGTTAGTTGGGTGGTGGGGTGAGAGAGGAACTCTGTCCTATATATCACTAGTATAATAATTCAGATGGATTCATAAATAACAAAGAATTCTGTTGATTTCTCAAAAGCAAAGACTCATAAAAAAACTAGTAAAAGCTCTGGCATGACTGAACTATGTAAAACATTTGCATGACAAACTACTTTTATGTCATTGCTGTCGAAAGAAAAGCAAGTATCTCTATAATGGCAACTTTACAGGTGAAGGCAAAAACATTCTTTACTCTTAATGTAATATTTATGTAAGTAGATTCAATACTAAGCAAATTTGGAGCATTTGTAGTGGTCCTTTCATCATGGAAATTATCGGCTGTTGTGCTCAAATGATGCAGAAAAATGTAATACAAAATGGAGATACTTGGGTTTTTTGAACAGTGATGATACGACTGCAAAACATGCATTCAGCAGACAATATCCAGTTTCCCTCTCTTCATCAGGCTGTAGGATGAAAGATTTGTAGAACTTGCGTAGCATCTTCATAAATGTTTTGTTTAGGCTACAAGATGAAAATGAATAACTAATGTCTCTGTCTAAATACAACTCGAGTCTCTCTGTTTACCTGTCTGTGCATTTATATCACAACGTAGGAAACATGCGGTCACATCCATATATGCTGATGGTAAGCTATAGATATAGAGCACTACCAGAGCATTATTCTAAGGAGAGATGTATCAGGACCCTCTGCGCTTTGTCACAGTGACAGAATGTTTAATGTCGTTTGGAGTAAGAAGGCTTTAACTGGGTTACATCAGGCTTGATCCTGTCCTTCCTAGTAGCAAACAATGGCTTAGCTCTCAGAACAAAGCCCAGTGACTTTCTGAAGTCACGTTTGTGAGCAGAAGATGGGTGTGTGTCATTTTCAGGAACTGAATTTCTATACTTATACTACTTGGGTTACTTTTTAAAAGACAGATTAAGTCTACTCCTAGACTAGAACATATTTTCAATGGGCCAATCTCTGATGCTGTCCAAATAATGTATAAAATGTGAAACAAAACTGAGAAATCTGCCTTGAATATTTTGCCATTAGTCTAAGAGTGGCCTTCATAAAAGAGTTTAACCACTGAATATCATAGGCTTATTATTCAGTAACTACACAGAGCACAATGCAACCTGCTGAGTTATCCCTCGTAAATAGAAGTGTGTAAAAAAGGTTTGGGCTTACTGGTGGATCCTGGTTACGTATCAATCAACTCTATAAATGTGTGTTCTCTTTCTGAAAATGATGTATTATTGAAGTAAACTAAATGTTTTCACTGATGTCGTAGATAAAGGTTGCATGATTTATCCATACTGCATTGTTAAGGCAGCAGTCAGAGATTTTAGAGCATTAATGTCAACAAAAATCAGTTATCATAATGCATTTTCCTTTACAGTGGAACACAGTTAGCAAAGGTCTCTGAGCTAGCTGAGCATTTTCACTCACTGATAGGTGGGGCTGGTGGGAGTGGGACGTCAACGATCATTGTTGGTTAAAATTGGATGCATTATTGGTTTATATTGTCATGCTAGTGCATACATTTTTATGTAAATTTTGTTTAGGTTTACTTTAAGGTGGAATTCTTAAGACTGAAATCTCTCCTAGTTAAGTATTGGAGGCAATTTGACCTTCCATGGTTTGTTTACCTTTGCATTATTTGGAACCAATTGAATGTATGAGAATGTACACCGATCGCTGGTCTGAGTGGACCAAACACAGCAGTGCTGCTGGAGTTTTTAAACACCTCAATGTCACTCCTGGGCTGAGAATAGTCCACCATAGCAGATGAGCTATCGTCTCTGACTTTACATCTACAAGGTGGACTGACAAGGTAAGAGTGTCTAATAGAGTGGACAGTGAGTGGACACAGTGTTTAAAAACTCCAGCAGCGCTGCTGTGTCTGAACTACTCGTACCAGCAAAACACACACTAACACACCACAAATTACTGCAGTGCTGAGCATGATCTGCCACCCAAATAGTACCTACTGGGGCTCCTGACCACTGAAGAACAGGGTAAAAGAGGGCTAAAGAAGTATGCAGAGAAACAGATGGACTACAGTCTGTAATTGTAGAACTACAAAGTGCCCCTATATAGTAAGTGGAGCTGATAAAATGGACAATGAGCGTAGAAACAAGGAGGTGATAATGTTATACCTGATCAGTGTATCATAGAGTACTATGCAAAAGTCTAGGCACCTAAGCACATTGTTTCAAACCATTCATCTTAGTAATAATTGTGTTTTTGCTTGTAAAATCACCATAGATCATTAGAATAAACACAAATAAACATGAATACAGTAAAAAGTAACAAGAATTGTTTTGGAAAAAAGTAGTTGATATCTTGTGAGCTAATTTGAACAACAAAGTTTGGTTCCAAATTTCCCCTGGATGTCTCCAGCAATCACATGGATTTATTATTTCATTAGCAAGATATTTAACATAATCAAGCATTATTTAGGCAAACCAGGGGTAAAATGATGACAACAAATAATACCAGGCTGAAACAATGAGAGCTTTGGAAATGGTTCACCAAACACACATATGTAAAATCACTGCTTAATGTATTAATAGTGTTTTTATTCTAATATTAGTGTTTTTCTAAGAAAATAAACACAGCTCTGATAAATAGCTTTTTAATTCTCAGGTGACTAAAATTTTGCACAGTAGAACCCCTTAAATGGCCAGGGCCCACCAGCAAGCCCAAAGTTTTTTCACATCACATCACATCACATCATCTAAACCGCTTATCCTTCAGGGTCGCGGTGGGGTGCTGGAGCCTATCCCAGCTGTCATTGGGCAGAAGGCAGGATACAGGTCGCCAGTCCGTCGCAGGGCCCAAAGTTTTATCACACACTTCTATAACCTAAGAATAGCTCAGGCAATTTGCATGGAATTCGCTGTAGTTACTGAATAATAGGCCTTAGTATGTAATAAGCCTGAGATTTTAAGGTGCTAATTAAATGGGTTCTGTAAATAAACTTACTGATGTTTCTTTTATCTGTAAATTAATGATGCTGAAATTTCAACCCCTTACGGAATGTTTGCGCAATCCTTTTATAAAAGTCCTGTTAAGTTTGAATGAATCAACATGGGTGGGTTCAGTGGGTTTTTCCATGCACTTATTTGTGTCATTTAATTGTATTTTCTCATGATCAATTATTAGGCAAAATTAAATTTTGTGCTAATGTAAATTACAGCACACAGTTAAATCCACCGTTACGGAGGTTTCTGGAAATATCAGAATGAGTCTTGGCAGATGGAGACAGATGAGCTTCCTGACAGGATATGTGGAAAACATTCTGAGCCATCCATCAGGGTTAATGTATCCTGTGCTTTTGGTCCAAATCGCTGTGATTATAAAGCTTTGACGTCTCCAAATGGCAGTACATTTTTCTAAGTTCCGGCCTTGTATATTACAGGACTTGGTTTGGATACAATTTAGTGTCGACAGTTGATAATAGAACAGTAACAGATTCACTGTGGTTTAAGTTATACATTGTCCTGTTAACGTACCCTGTCATACAACTTCATTCAGGACAACACTACAGACTGTTTTGTTTTCTGTGTCTGTGAGGAGTTGGATCTGATTTGATGGATTTGTCTTGATTGTTTTGTTTCACTTGATTGTATTAGTCAGATAGCCTTCAGGTGCCGACTGGTGTAATCCTATTGACACAGGATATGATCTGCTGCTGTATTAGCATAACTAAAGAAAGTTGAGAACAAAAAGCAAAATATTGAGTCTGTCAGCATCACCTCACTCACTCATGTATTTGAGAGGTCAGAGGGGTTCTAAAGCCGTCTGCACTTCCTGTTAGCATGGGTTGTGAGGGTGGGAGGAGGGAGGGACAGACAGATGTGTCTGGGGGCAGAGCAGCAGGCTGGGGGTTGGGGTGAGAGAGAGAGTTAGAGAGGTAGGGATTTCCTCTAGACAGTCAACTAGTGAGGAAGTGATAGGGGCATGTTTAAGGAGCAGTGGAGTACATTCTGAAAATGAATGTGTTGGGACAGTGTTGAAGTGGAGGTGAAGTTCAAGTGGCACAAAGAAGGCCCAATCGTGTCACCATTGTCAGGAGGTGCATTTCCATACTGTGGGCCTTTTTACACTGGATAAAGATTATCGTCAAGTCTATCAAGAGATCAACACTGCAATCCTCTAAATGCACAGGTAAGTAAATCGGACATTGTAACAAAACATTTGAACTCCAAAATGGCAAGTTTGCAGAAGGAAAACACATTTTAGGCACTGTTGATTGCTGCAAAGTATGCTTATATGGATTTAACCTCTGTCTGATTATAGTAGTTCTTGGCATCTAGAAAATGATGACTTATTTTCAGTCATAGTGACCTGTTGCTCTATTTCACCTCAGTCAAAAGTTACACTATATATATATATAGTGGACACTTACTCATCCAGTGTTTCTTCTGAAGTCAAGGGTATTAATTGGGTGTTCGCTGCAGTGATGTCATCTACTCCTCTGTGAAGACATATACCTTGGGTTGGAACATTGTTGTAAGGATTTGATTGCATTCAGCCACAAGAGCATTAGTAAGGTCAGGTACTGATGTTGGATGATTAGTTCTGAATCAAAAATGGCACTTCGACTCATCCCAAAGGTACTGGATGGAGCTTCATCACTCTAGAGATCACAGTTCCACTGCTCCACAGCCCAGTGCTGGGGGATTAATACCCCTCTAGCTGACGCTTGGCATTGAGCATTGTGACCTTTGGTTCATATGCGGCTGCTCTAGAGTGTCCCATTTTATTAGCAATGCTTTTCTATGGATAATATACAAGGTGTGTGTACACAACTGAAATCCTATGCCTTACAGTAGCTATATTCACAAATTAGAAAGGGTGTCTGGATACATTTGGACATATAACTCACTGCAGTATAAATATTCTTTGGATTTGCTCTTAACTACTACAGCATGAACATACTGCCACTTCTAGAAATCAACGCTGTGCAAGAGACACATCCTGTCTGCATCAAAGCGCTGACAGAGTCACACCGGGAGTTATTTATTTGGACAGTATTAGAGCATCTCTGGGTTTCTGAGCCAGATCAGAGCGAGTACACAGATATATTAGTTTTTGTGTTGCTCTCTGAGCATGACCCATCTCAGAAGTCTCTCATAGGACAGTGAGTCAGGCTACAGAGCACAATCAGCTGAATGTACACTTGCGAGAAGAACAGCAGATCTAATGAGGTTAGGACCTCTGTCACAAACTGATTGGCCTCTCAGTCTTCTAACTCTCTTGGCCGGGCTTGGCTGTGTGTGGCTGTTGATTCACTGCTCGTGAAAGTGTTTCAGAGGGATATTTCTGCAGGACAAAATCTGTGATGCATCTTTAACATCCTCTGAACGTTGTTGATTGTTGGCCAGGTGATTCTTAAGAGAGCGCTGCTTTTCATCTTGATGCCAGAGTTTTTTCTGTGCTTTTTGAATTACTCACCTATTTTGGAACTAGAGGTTTGCTTCCCATCTCTAATGTTGTTGATCATCTTAGCCAAGTAAATAAACTTTGGGATCTCTGTATCCTTTCAATTAAGTTGGATATGAAATTGAAGCCAAGGAAAATAAATAACAGATACACACAGTCATGACTTCAGTCACTGTACGGCACTAGTGTGAGTGGTATATTTTTATTTGTGTAATAGTGGGAAGGAAACTTATTCTCATGACTCTCCAAAGTCCTCTAAACAAACTTTCCCCCCTAATTCTCATCCAGTGACACAATGCAGCCAACTTCTTTTCTGGACAAATGCCTCTGTATATAAATTATAAATTAGTTTTTGGACCACATGGCTTTTTAATAGTCCATTGTGAGTGTGATATCAATTTAAATGAGTTCTTGAAGATCAATACTGCATCACATTACTTTTGCATTTGCCTTGAATCCAGTAGATATGGTTTGAACTGAATGCATCGGAAATGAGAAATGATGTCATTAACTTATTGTAAACAGTGTGCACCCAACGGCCCGCAATACTGCACATTTTAAGCTTTATGTATTAATCTGAGGATGATGATGCAATGCAGCTCCTTTACTTTGAACAAATAACTTGCAAGAATAAATACATTTAGGATTTAAATCACTTTAAATTACAGAACAGTCACAGAATGTAATGGTGTGCTGTAGTTTTTTTTGTATCACAACAGTGATAATGACTGAGCTATATCTATAGACTGAGGAGCTTATTAGTCAGATCAGCATTTACTACTGGGAATAAAGTCAAGCTGAATCACTGTCAACAAACAAATTGCTTTGAAATTAATTGCCAGGAGTTAAGCAGTGTATTACTGGTAAAGAGAAGATTTACATTCCTGATATGCACTGTTTATAACTGGCTGACTGGATGATTAGTCTGGATTAGCTTCAGCCTGATAATTGATATTATCGTACATCACAGTAATTTAATTAAGAGATGATATTGCCGAAATGTTCTTTTGTTTTCCTTCACATGCCACATGTTTTCACTGGCTTCGCCTTTATTTAACTATTCCCTTCGTACATTTATTCTAATCTATGGCTAGTTCGTAAATGTATACAGTAGAAAAGACAGCACTTAATTAAAGGCTACACAAACAGCACATCACTAACTACTTAATAAGAATGTAACAATACAATGTATCGTATTGTATCAAATTGTATCACAGCATATTATTACATATTGTATTGTTGTATTGTGACTAGCATGTAGTTCGTGGCTAATGTGTTAGCTTGGAGCTAATATAGTTTAACGTGTTTTAGATTGGGACATTATAAAACAAATGTTTTATTTAAAATTGTTGTACTTCTGTGCTACTGAGTGCTCCAATAAACTAACAATGGAAATGCTAACATAAGACACATTTTCAGCCACTCCTTATTTTGTTGCATGGAAAAGTGCATCAAATTAAGACATTACTGTATCATATTGAAATGTATTATGAATTACGTGAATGATTATATCCCTACTCATTACACATGCATACTTGAAAGATTATTGTGTTGACTTTTAGTCTGACAGAATGATGATGAGAAATGATACATGAGAATTATGTGTTGTCTAAGTCACAAATTTACAGTAACCAGGGTTCACTTTTTCTTACTATGCAAAGCCTTGTGGTCAAGCATATGACTAGCAGTTAACCAGTAATAAATTACTTTTACATATCTTGGAAGACCAAATTGTCCTCACTTTTTTGAAATAAAAGAGTGACATAAAATATAAACCCTGTTAAAGTTTTAAAATGAACCATTCACTCCACAGTCCATACAGTCCATATATGAAAACTAAGCTACAAAAACAGTCCATTTTGAATTCACGGATTTTATGATGTCATGGAAAACAACTCATTTGTATATATCCACTTACTTAGCCAGGCAAATATTATAAGTGGACCTCAAAGAAAAAGATAAAATACAAGAAAAATGTTGGATGTGGCTCCTTTACAATGCAATAGGGTAAACAAGACTGAGACAAAGATAAAACCATCAGCTGAGTAAGTAAATCGCTTGTTTTCTTTTCTTGTGTTTCAGGCACAGAGCCCATCCCAGAACTATGGAAATGACCAGAACTGAGGGGTCACTGTCTATGAACATCACATCAACTCCACCAGTCACCACTAATGGTTCTCCACCGTCCCGTGAACCATACCTGCACAGACTGGCACACCTAGATGAGGGACTCTATAATGACTTCTATAGCTTGTGGATAGCTCTGGTGGTCATTAACACTCTGATCTTTATGGTGGGGATGGCTCTCAACAGCCTAGCCTTGTATGTTTTCTGTTTCCGTACAAAACCTAAGACCACGTCAGTTATTTATACCATCAACTTGGCGGTCACGGATCTGCTCGTTAACCTGTCACTTCCTACCCGTATTATTCTGTATTATAGTGGAGGCAAGTGCCTTAACTGCTCTTACGTCCATATATTTAGCTACTTCGTCAACATGTACTGCAGCATCCTCTTCCTCACCAGCATCTGTGTGGACCGTTACCTGGCCATCGTGCAGGTGGAGGCCTCCCGGAAGTGGCGTAACCCCAATGTGGCTAAGGTGGTCTGTGTGTGTATCTGGCTGTTTGCCATCATTGTCACATACTCTTTCCTAACCACGGCTTTCAAGCACTCAGCCTGCTGTGTTTCCAAGCTCTTTGCGCTGACTGTGTTTGAGTTCTTCCTGCCCCTTGTGATCATTGTGGTGTTTACGGTTAGGATCATGTGTGCGCTGTCCAGCCCGGGCCTGATGCAGCAGAGCAGAGAGAGACGAATGAAGGCAGTGCAGCTTCTCACTACTGTACTGGTCATCTTCACTATCTGTTTCACTCCATTTCATGTTCGTCAAGTCCTGGTCTACTTTCAACCAGATCTGCCGCACCATGTGATCGTCTACCATGTGACTGTCACCCTCAGCAGTCTAAACAGCTGCCTGGATCCTGTGGTCTACTGTTTCGTCACCACCAACTTCCAGTCTACCATGAAGAGGTTCTTCCGTAAGGCAGAGGCTGAGCAGACCAGTGGAGACATCATCAGCATGCAGAAAAGCTCCAAAGGTTCTGGCACTGTTTTTGCCATCGCTAATAGCACGATAATGGTGAACATGAGCTCTCCTCAACATGGAAGCCTTCCAGGATGAGGCTGTACAGTATGGACTGAGTTGCTACAATGTTTATGCAAGATTAAGGACAATCTACTGGACTGAATTTTAGGACACATTGTTACAATTACAATTCTTTCAATTGTTCTTTCATTTGTTGTTGCTTGGTTGTGTGTTGTAAATAATTTGCTACAGAAAATGGTGACAAGTTGAATATTATTAACATCTAATTTAATATTGTGAAATGAAGTAAATATGACCTGGGTTTGAACCAAATGAGAAAACTTGGGACTTTGAGGATTATGTAAAACAATGCCAACATAGCTACAGACAAATCTTACTGTTTTACTCTGGGTATTTGTGCTGTAGGCCTGTCACAGATGGCAAGATATTGATAGTGTATGAGTAGGTCTGAGGGTTCTCTCAACATATTTTCTCAACATATTTTCAGGCATCCCTTCATTTCATTACAGTCACACACAGTCACAGAGACAACTCAGCGCTGGCCAGGAATTAGTAATCTTGCAGCATTGACTCACTTCTCACCCTCTAAGGACTGCTAATGCTTGTCTGCCTGGGTCTACATAAGAAATATGTACAATAAGGTTCTGCTTATATGGTCTTTGTTCTAAATTGTATTTATGTGAACAGAGAGTAATAAATGGATTTACGAGTGTTAAAATAATGTTCACTGACCCATAAACAACCAATTTTAACCTTATAGCCTATGAGTTAACAAAACATTAGGCTAAACAACTATTGCCTAGACTTTATACAGGCAACCTCAGTTCGCTTGCATTATAGTTACTGTATGTGCACAAATGGAGGAGGGGATGACATTTCAAATCCCTAAAAAGAGTGAGGGCTACTCAGATGTACAGTACAATATTACAACACTGAAACATAATTTTAAAATGAATTAAAATGATTCAGCATGTAATAATCTAATTCAAAGTTCACTGATCTTTCTCTTATCATTTCAAATGCAGATCTATGACTGAAGCACACAGGCTCTGCTCATAACTGTCCTTATCAAACAGGGAAGCATAAACGTAGCTTCTCTATGCCCCCTAATCTTTCGAAGGAACCATACGGCCGCCAGAAGCGTGTCTGCGCGGAGGGGGGGACTTTGAGAGTGGAGTGACTGGCAACCCTCGTCAGCACACAATAGACAGCCCGCACCTTCTGGAGCAGATGTGGGAGAAACAGTCTCTGACTGACCGGTAAGGTACGGGATTTACACCACTCTAATTCATATTTTACTTCATTTTTCAGAAAAGACGTTGTCTTTAATCGATAGCGAACACGTCGCCAACAAACACTCAGTACCTGCCGGAAGAACGTAAGGTTTTCTGTCTTGTTTTTAGCACTTAGAAAACGGGGCTCTGCCTCACTCATCATAAATAGCTGGCTAACCATTAGCAAGCTAGCTAGCAATGTTTATAACTTAGTTAGCTAATATAACTGTCAAACTGAGCAGATGCCTGGCTGTGTGTATTACACTTTAAAGTGATATGTATGGCAAGTTAATAGCAAACTATTAACCAGTATTTAAACACACTGGTTGTTCAGCATCAGATGTAGATGAGCATAGTAAGCGCACTCACTGTTCCCAGCTGCGCTGAGCTAACGTTAACTCTGAGGCAGCACAGCTAGCCTCACCTGCAGCATCGCGGCGGCTGCCTGATGGTGATTCCATCTGGCAAATGTTTAACGTTACATTTGATCATGAACGAAGCGAACTGGAAGTCTTCAGAGAGTGTTTGGGCGTATATATAACTAGGACAACAAATGCTGTTTCCATAGTGCAACATGTTCAAACGGCTGTGCTGTTACGCTACTAACTAACGTTTTCACCGTAAAACGTTAAGCTAACGCTGTGTTAACGCTAGCTACGTACACACTGTTGGCTAACTGTTAACCCAGCTTGGTTAACCTGACAACAGGCGCTGACCGCTAATATTTAACAATTTTTTACTGCTTGCTGTGGTGAAAAGGCATCATTTTTCTGTTTCTTTCTTAAAAAGTTTGTCAGCGTCGGGTTTCGGTAATGTAAAGCTGGTCTAATTGTAAGTCTGGGGGGCAGAAATAAAGAGCTGAGACTCCGCAGGTGCAGGGCGCCATGCTTGGGCAACACAGATACTCCGTTCTTTAGTGTAGTCAAGCGAGAGCAAAGCATTGATTCAAGCATGACTATCTGGACTTAAAGACACGTTTTTGCCTGATAATTAAAACCTCTTTCCTGTAAGTGTACCAGTAAGTTATATCCTCTGGAATACTGCATGTGACGTCCCTCACTGTAATTCTCTCTTTTTTTTTTTTTATTACAGTTGCCTCTGGCAGCAGTATAGTTTTACGCTTCGGATGAACAAGGAGGTGTTGGCAGATCCAGGTGAGTGCTTGTCTGTGTTAGCACAGGCTGTTTTGTGATTGATGATGAGAACAGGAGTAGGTGTGGGTATGTAAATCTCATGAAAACCATTGTAGTCTTAACAAGTCACTTATATACAGAGAAATATGAGAATTATATGTTTTTGTATATGGTTACACATGCAGTAAAATGAACATAATGCAGAGATTTTAACATAGGAGGCCAGAGTCTGTTAAATGTTTTCAAATACTGGTTTGAAATATCAGTCAAATCTAAACATCTGCTTAATACCAAACACGTTTTCGTAATGAAATTATATGCTGATGCTGATATGATTCTGGTATCATCATTCATCACTACAATGTGATAAACTAAATATTGAAAAAAAGCTAAGTTTATGATATACTATTTAAAATTTTTAGAGCCATGCTCTTCTAGAAGGTGCTCATTGTCTCTTCAGATTGACAGTGTCATTATGTAGGGTCATGATGCAACACCTCCTTCCCTGACATAATTGACCTTTGGTATATCATGTGTAGTTTTGGACATAATAGCTGAAGAAGATATTTGCTGACAGATGTTTCTTGAGTTGTGACATCTTTGCATAATTCACTTTAAGATTTCACAACAGGCTATTTCTTATGCATCTATATTACATTTTCAGTATTATACACTTTCAACTAGAGACTCAAAAGGCAAACAAGAATGTCAGAAGTTTTCCAGCGCATATCTGATATTTTGGGTTTTGGTGCGTGTTTTTTTTTATTTTTTTTATATCTAGTCTAACTACTATCTTGTTTCACTTTCTCTCCCATCTAGATATTAATAAATCACTCCATGGGGATACACAGAGGACCATCATTTACCTGCGCTGACCTTCCTCTTCCCCTCCCCTCTTCCCTTTTCACTCACTGGGAAAACATGACTTATGATTTGCCCAAGCAAGGCCATATATGGATTTGTACTGACTACAGCAGGCGGTAAACCTCTCACTAAAGTATATGGAGCAACATGACTTCTGCTTTAACTGCTGGTTAATGTATTGTTATCAGAAGCTTTGGTTGAATGTATGTGGATTATGAAAGATCCATCTGGATATTTTGAGCAGAGACAGAAAAGTAGGGCTTGGAAGGAGTGTTGTTGTTGGGAACAGAAGTAGAGCCACATCTCTGGATTAGTTGGATTCCACCACCACAGCTGCCTTTATGCAGGTGGAAATGGCACCCAAGAACGCCGACTCAGAGGCTGTACGAGTGTTGGACATGACGGTAGTGCCTGCTAAGGGTCAGAGTGGTAAGACGAGCAGAGAAAGAGATGTGGAGGTTTCAGAAGAGTCGGCCAGTGAGGGTTCTGTGGACCACATCCCAAAGCGCCTATGGGTTATGCATGGAGCTGTCATGTTTGGCCGTGAGTTCTGCTATGCCATGGAAACAGCGCTGGTCACACCTGTGCTGCTGCAAATAGGTACGTTGTCATTATTTTCAAAGATTGTGTCGTTAAATAATCAGTTTCTTGAATGGTAGAATCAGTTTTCAATTTCAATTCAGTTTCTTGAATTTCAGTATTCATTGTTCTCTAAACAGCTTGTATTTTTCATTTGAATGTACATCAGCATCTTCAAAAATACAGTGAAGGAAGGGTGTTGGAAATAGGATCAGAATGAGAGTAAACACATCAAAAGAGCCATGCTGCACTAACTCTTTGTAATAGTGTATGACAGAGGCCATTCCTAGTGATGTTTGTGTTTAGTGCAGGGTAACAATGAATGTCACTGAGCTTGGCTGGAATGAAGAGAATGTGTGCGTCTGCACATTTCTCTCACTCTGTTTTCCCTGCCTTTTCAACGAGAGCTGCTTCAATGAGCCCCTTGATGAAGTCATACAAATGAGAGAAAAGTAACTTCAGGTCCATCTTGAGGTGTCCTAAGTTTAAGTATCTTTTGGTTTTAATTCAAGTCACCCAAAATGAAACTACCTCACTTGTTGAACCATGTATTCATCTTCCAGTGGATGGGGATGTGCAAGTGAAAGCCTAAAAGGCTTCTGGTCTATATAATAGCTCAGCCAGCTACATGCTGCTGAAAGCAGGTTTCAAGCTTGTATAAAAGCAGAACCTTCTTTGACTTGTGATTACACTGGGTAAGTTATGCAATACCTCCTGGATCATCAGTCTTGTTAATTGCTCTTTATTGCAGCAGTTAAAAAGAACAGTGTAATTTGATGAGTAGTTGAAGCATCAGAAGCTGCTACTTCAGAAACGCAATGTGGCCTCCTGAATGAGAGTAATATGGTTGTGAAAAAGCAGGTTAATGAATAGTGGACATGTTGAAACAGGTCAAGATACATTTCATTGACCCTGAGTGGCACACCCAGTGTATAGGTGTAGCCTGCTATTGAGATTTGGAATTAAATACTCACCCTGCTATGTGCTTTTTAGGGCTAGGATTGAAAAATAAATGTGTTTCATAGTCTAATACAATCTGATCCTTAGGACATATTATTAAAAATCACAGAAATAAAGAGCAAAATATAATATTTCATAGTTTTGTGACCAAGGGGTATTTGACACAGCAAGATTTCACAGTTGGCCAGATAACTTAGGCCCAAAGTTGAGGGTTGTCCAATAGGTGTGTTCCTTGGCTCTTTTCCTAATGGTCAGGCTTAACTTTGGGCTTAAGTTACCTGGCTACACTGAGAAATGTTGCTTTGTGAAATACCCCCAAACCATGTTTCCAGGCTTAAAAAAAGTTGTTATTGTAAACAAAATGTGTACTTGGTTACATGACTTGCTTTAATGAATGCCAGACATGTCTCAGAAATCTCTAAATTGCAAGTATGAAAAAAGAAGTCCTGTCCTTTTCTCTCCAGGTCTTCCAGAGCAGTACTACAGCCTTACATGGTTCCTTAGCCCCATTTTGGGTTTAATCCTCACCCCTCTGATTGGCTCAGCAAGTGACCGCTGTACCCTCAGATGGGGTCGGAGGAGGCCTTTCATTCTAGCTCTTTGTGTAGGGGTGTTGATAGGTGTGGCACTGTTTCTCAACGGATCTCTAGTGGGTGAGGCTTTCTTTGATATCTTCCCTTCTGTTTTTCTTTAATTATTTGGTTTATTTTAGTAGAGCGAAACAGTTGTGTTCCTTGTTCTTTTGTTTATTCACATGTTCTGTTCAACTGTGTCTGTAAATGTTTAACTCTCTGGCCACTTACAACACAGTAATTTCCACAAAGTCAGGTGTTAGCAAACTTTTTCTTCAAGCCAGTATAATAGTATGATAGTCAGCATAACGGTAACTGTGTAACCCTTTTTAAATTCACATTCTTTCTGTGCTTGTCTGTGTTTGTGTCAGGCCTGGCTGTTGGAGATGTTCCTGGTAACCAGCCCATTGGAATAGTTCTTACAGTGCTGGGTGTCGTGGTACTGGACTTTTGTGCTGATGCTTCGGAGGGACCAATCAGAGCCTACCTGCTGGATGTAGCTGATACAGAAGAGCAGGACATGGCTCTCAATATTCATGCCTTTTCTGCAGGTAATGTACATGGAGCACAGGGATACTAATTTACCTATGTTGTTCTTAGAACACAAATAAAAAATGTATGAGCTGCTTATGGAGCAAGTGCCAGCTTAGCCAGCAGGCTAACAACTCAACACAGAAAACAGATTTCATTCTGTCTTTTTGTTGCTAGCCAGTTGACTTAAGTCCTTCAAATTTGAGTCTTCATCCTCTACTTGTGTTAGAGGGGCAAACGTATTTTCAAGCTATTTTGTGATGTTAAAAATAAGCTTATGAAATGAATTAATTTTTTGGTAATAATTTCTATCAGTCATACTTTTAAGTTAAACTGTGAATATTATCATTCGCTATTAGTTTATTTGTTTTGCCACTTGGCTACCATATGCTGCTGTCCAAACTACAATGAGCAGAAACTGTCTGCAAGCTGCATTGGATTTTAAGGTGGTTAAAAGTGATTTGGAACCAGAGACTATACTTATGGTAAATCATTATTTTCAATATTTTAGCTTTCAGAGTAATTAATAGATAAACTGTTTTGCCAATGTTAAACATTTACTCTATTTTAGAAGTTTTACCAGTTTAAATCATCAATTATATTGACTGTTGTTACACCCTTGATTTTCATCAATATGGAGTGTGTGGCACATGAGAAGTCACACAACGTTAGCATAAAGACATTAGCATCACAGCATATGATGGTTCTCACACACCTGCTTTACTTTTGGATTACATTTATAGGGTTGGGGGGAGCTGTGGGCTACATGCTTGGAGGTCTGGACTGGACAAACACCATCTTGGGTCGTGCATTCAAGGCCCAAGAGCAAGTGCTCTTCTTCTTTGCAGCCATCATCTTTGTAATTTCTGTGACACTTCACCTTTTTAGCATTAAGGAGTGTCCATACAGCCCCCATCAGCAGGAGGCACTTGAGGCCGAAGATGCAGAGAGCTCCTTGGCTGTTCAACTTAATGGAACCCTTCCTTGCACTCGCCTAATGCCTCACCTGGACCTTATTGATGAGGAAGGACCTTTTGAATCCTTTGAGGACAATCAGTCTGAGAGACAAGTCCAAATAGACTTCCTAAATGTACGGAGTAAAAGTGACTCCGTTCTTGCTGTACCAGACACTACCATTGAACTTGACCCAGACTTAGCAATAGACCTTGATAGTCACTTTCTCAGTGACATAGAACCAACTTTGTTCCAGGATTTGAAGGCCGCCCATGAGAATGAAAGGCCATTCGATCATTGCCACAACAGCACTTGCCACACTAGCCAGTGCTCCGATCCTTCAGTCCACCAGGTAGCTCCTTGTAAGGATGAATGTCCCTTTTCGACTGCCAAAGCCATCAATGGTGACATTGCTGGAGCCAGCAACCCAGCAATTGTTACAGTGGGTACCTCAAGCCACCAAAACAAAGCTGGCGGGCGTCATTTCAACACCAGCACAACAGTGCGTTGCCGACACCCCTCCTTCTACCGGCAACCTTCCTTTACCTTCTCTTACCATGGGCGGGTGGGCTTCCTGCGGCCTCGTCGCTGTGGCAACATAGCACACCCAATCAAGTCATCACGAAGCCTGAATGACATTGATACATTAGCAAGGCGGCAAGAGAGACGGAAGCTGCAGCAGAGTGGTAGCGCATCATCAGGGCCTGATGAGGAAGATGGAGAGAGTGAGGAAGGAGAAAGTGGTACGACGGTAAAGTTGCTGTGGCTCTCCATGCTGAAGATGCCTCCACAGCTCTGGCGGCTGTGTGTGTGCCATCTCCTCACATGGTTCTCCATCATTGCTCAGGCTGTTTTCTACACTGACTTCATGGGGCAGGTCATCTATGAAGGAGATCCAACAGTAAGAGGAGCGCCACATCAAGTTTTTCTATACTAACTGGGTGTGTATTGTAACCTGGACAAAACAAATCACACTTTTTTTTTTCTAACTAGGCGGCTGCAAACTCAACCGCTCTTCAGAACTACCATAAGGGTGTGCAGATGGGTTGCTGGGGGCTAGTTATCTATGCTGCCACTGCTGCCATCTGCTCAGGTATGTTTCACATCTTTTTCTATATTAAAGCCACAATAGGGAACAACCAAGTTTTCTAAAATGCTAGAGGAGGATTTGGCAAGGTTTGCTAAACTACTTAAAGCAAGCCTTCAACACAAGACACCAGTATTTGTAAACAGTGTAGTAAAAACCTCTGCTATGTTAATACCTGGAATGTGGAACAGATTACTATGAGTATCATAGTATGGGAATAGACTATATCAAAAATGAAATATGCCTTATAAGTATTTTGCATATGCAAATCTCCAAAGTTTATAAACCACTTTGTGGAATACTATGGCAAAAGGAAAATATAACTTCAAAACTTGAAGCAATAACCCATGTTAACCCATTTTAACAGCATTAATACACGATAGTGAACCCCACTGCAACTACAAATTGAAAACTTATAGTAGATGACAACAGAAGCAGCGTGTTTATGTTTGAAGTAATAGAAGTAGAAACATGGTCTTATGTGGTTTGGCCACCTCATTAGCAGTTCAGTTAAATGTTGTTAGCAAGCTGCAAACTTAGTACTCCACAAGCATGTCTTTAATTAGACCCTTATCTGCTGTTGTGCTTTGCCAATTTGCATGCTTTCAGATTTGCATTTATGATTTTTATGTGGTCTGTGTGTTGTACAGTAAGCTAAATTAAACAGTAATAGTTTTTTTGGATCTGTGTAGGGGTTAAGGGGTTTGCGTGTCCCACCCATATAATGAACCATTTATAGTCCATTGCACAGTTAACTTATTCTGCACCAAGTAAGTTACAGTGCACTGCACAGTCTGCTTATTTTGCAATACTTAGACAGATGAGCATGCAGATTTTGGCAAGCTGCCTTTATCCTACACTTGTAAAAATAAAGGTTCCCAAACAGTGCCTGGCTAATTCACTTAAGTAGGTCTTAGAATACAAATAATATATGAATTGCTTATGGAGTAAGTGCAGCTTAACCGGCAGGCTAACAGCTCAACACACAACACAGTCTTTTTGTCACTAGCCAGTTGACTTTGGTCCATCAGATTGGAGTCTTTATCCTCTATACTTGTGTCAGTGGGGCAATAGTTAGCTAAATTTGAACCTGCCTTGAGAAAAGTCTGAAAAGCTGTTAGACTACTAGTACTACTAGTAAGCAAATGCTAGCATCCAGCGCAAACTTGGACATATGAGTAGAGCTGACTTTGTGTCAAACCTTTACATTAAAGGGGTCATTTCAACTTTACAAAGCTTCTTCATGTGTGTACATCTCATTTATAAAAGTGCTTCTTTAAAGACCAAAAAAAACTACCAAAAGAACCCTTTTGGCATGTTTTTATTTAAGAGAGCATTAGAGGTTTGCATTTTCTGATGTAACGTATGAGTGGGCTGAAGTGTAGCCTTCAGCCCATGATCTTGTCCTTATGCTATCCTATTGTTAAGAATGGCACCTGTGAATGATAAATTGTTTACAAGTTAAGTATTTTACAGTGAGGAGACTTGCGTATAAGATTACCATCAGCTGGTTAGAACATGTTTTTACATTATAAAGTGTTTGCAAGGTCTTTTACTCCAAATGTTAGTGGATACATTTTTGGATTTTGTAAGAATACTTCAGAATCATAAATTGTTATGCACAAACCAGCCACTGTTTACACATGCAGTTATATATTCCATTCTTTTGTTTTTCAAGAATAGAAAATTCAACAAGAAAATTCACATTTTTCTTGCAGAAAAGATAACGTAGCCATACTTGTCTTGTTTTTCTTTTAAAGCTGTGCTTCAGAAGTACCTTGACAACTATGACCTGAGCATTAAGATCATCTACATGCTGGGAACTCTAGGCTTTGCTGTGGGCACAGGTGTAATGGCCATCTTTCCCAATGTGTATGTTGCCATGATAATGATAAGCACCATGGGCATCATCTCTATGAGTATTTCATACTGTCCTTATGCTCTTCTGGGGCAGTACCATGAAATCAAAGAGGTAAGATCCAGTCCCTGAGGTTAGTATTATTGATCTTTCCTTAATTTATTCTGATATTTGAACCTTGGCTTCAAATAATGTTCCTCTTAACTGTGGCTGTTTGGTCACCATATGGTGTTTGCCACTGTAATGTGCTGTACATTGAGAGATACTGAAATTATTTCATGTCTTATGTCATTACAGTACATTCGCCACAGTCCAGGCAACTCTCGCCGAGGCTTTGGTATCGACTGTGCCATCCTGTCATGCCAGGTTTACATTTCTCAGATTTTGGTGGCATCAGCTCTTGGTGCAGTTGTGGAAGCTGTAGGCACAGTGAGGGTCATCCCAATGGTGGCTTCAGGGGGCTCCTTTCTGGGCTTCCTCACTGCTGCCTTCCTTGTCATTTACCCTGAAACCCCTGATGATGAAGAAGATGATGATGAACAAGCTTTGAGCTCAGTGTGAGCACCTTCGTGGAAAAATGGAAGTCACACTAAACATGCAGTGAAATGCAAAATGCCAAAGTTAAGGAACTTTGCCTACACACTGCAGGTTGAATCCTAAAGTTCATTCTTTGACGGTGAATTAAATGGTGAGCTGCAACTCTCAGATTGCACCGCTCATAAGTAGTAGTTGTGGACTTGAGGAAAGACCGTGTTACCAACCAATTTGCCAAACGCTCTCCATTAGTATGTTAGTGATGACCTTATGCAGGGACCTGCAGCACACACCGAATGTATATCTGTTAAAATGGTACTGAAACCGTTGCATTTTGAGTCAGTTGTATTACTTCTGGCAAAATATTTCTTTTGACTGAATGGTACAACGTTTCCATTTTCCACATGATGATGGTATCGCAGATACATTTCTTTTTCCATATAAGCTCACTGGAAAAAAAAATTGGTTGCGTGCATAATTTCTTTTTTAATACTTGCTTACCTGTCGCTTTTCCCTAATAGCAGTGGGAGCCTCACTGATGTGTTTTGCTCGGGCATTAAGTACTAAGGTAGTGGAATAGTGGACCAAAGTGGACAGGAATCTCAAGGCACTGGTGGAATCTCTTGCCAACAGAATTGGTAGGATGTTTAAACAAATATTGAAGAAGAAATTATGCATGTGGCTGATTTTTTGTCCGAATATCTTAATTTTGAAACCTCAGGTGCAATTTACCAGTTTTACATAACTACAGTTAACATGTTTTAACATAGTTATTGCCAGAAAAACAAACAAACAAGAACACAGGAGCCGTAATTCACTAATTTTGTACCGTGCCATGATACTTTACTGTGATGTTTGCACAATTATTTTTCTTTGTATTTTCACTATGCTGGATTTGTGCTTGAAAAAGGAGCACTCAGGGGATTATGTTTTAGCTGCTGCAGCTGAGCATGACAAGCTTACTTCTCTAAAGTCTTAAGCATTTATAATAAAAATAATAAAAAAATATATATATAAACATGATAAATCAAGCTTTTCTTAGTATAGAATTGAGTGCTGTATTTTGTACACAGTTGCCTAAATGAAGTACTTTCTTGTGGCATGCGCATTAAGAATGGTCTTTGGTGAAAGTGAGAAACCTCAGAGGCCTTAATAATCACAGGAAACATTTAACTACTTTCTTACTGTTAATCTTACATATTACTACTTTTTCTTACTCTGTTTTGATACCATGTCCTAAAATTAACCTTACAGATGGCTTTTAGCCAGACTGGGTCTGTCCTCAGAAGCACTGCAGTTTCAGCAGTGTGTGTCTGTTGGCCATGATGGGTGCAGGGTCTGTATAGCAGCTGATCTAAGACCACTTTTGTTGGGCCCTCTAAGAAATGGTGTAAGTGACAGTTGAGGTCTTAGACCGTCTCTTAAAAGTAGCCCACAGAACCTACACCACAGACTGGGCTGACTGATAGCAGCCCATTCTGCCATTGATACAAATCATAACAGTGTTATTGTGGCATTGAGACTTGGCTGAGCTTTTTTATTTATCTATTATTTTTAATGTATTTGTTTTATTAAAGCCTTTTTCAGGTACTCTCAGAATCTTGCCAGCAGCACTTGAATTTTGGCATTTTTTTTTAAATCGTAAAACGTACAGAGGAAATCAGATAAGTGATTCTGCATCTTTCTTTTTTTTTTCTTTTTTTTAAATTTACTGAGGCATTCAGCATTCTGTTATATTTAGAAATGCTGCGTGGTACTGCTGTGACTTTTTGTTACTGTGTGGACCAAACAAGCTGGTTTACAGTTTCAAGGTGTTTTATTTCTCATAATTTGTACAACAGTTTGGATACAAAACAAAGATTTATGCTAACCTGTGAAGTCCCGTGTTTTTTTTCTTTCTCGTTCATTCCTGAGTAAACTCGTTACGAGAGTTAAAGTTGGCCTTTTTGTGGAATATAGCAAAAAATGGTTTTAAGACTCGCTAGATGGCGGTAGTGTTTTACAAAGTAAGAAGTGTCATTAAAGCTTTAGGCTAGTATTTGCAGCCTGAAAGACATCGTCCAACTGTCCGTTCAAACAGAGCATTTACTTCACATTATTTTGTGTTTCAATCATTTTTATTCAGATTATTAAGATTATAAAATAAAGATTCTTCTTCTCAGCTGTTTTCCCCGTTTTGAAGGGGAGCTCCGCCGAGTTTTAAAGATTTCGGCATAATTAAATGGTTACATTGTCAACAAAGTCATTCAGAGAGGTTTGTGTTAATTGCTTCGTTCTAGATAAACCTACAGCGTCAGAATTGTTCACAGTGGTGGTGATAGGAACCAGACGTCTGAAGCTTTTTAATGCCTCTAAAAGCTCCCTCACAGAAAGTTATTACATAAAATGATTATCAGTACTCAGCCTGATGTCTGAGACAATGTTTTGTAGTTTTGTGGTACATTTTTTACCTGACACGTACATTAATCAATTTATTTTACTATGCATGGCGGAGGGATATATAACGGGTGTTCTAAGGCAAAATAGTCCCCAAAGAAAATCGGAAGCCACATGTAGGTTCACTGGTGGTGTTGTATACATTTTAAAAAGTGCTGTGTTAAATAACAACACACTTGTGTTACCCTTTTTAACGCCTTTTGTGTCATTGTTTCTGCTTTAACACATTCTGTGATAAAAGTGACACAAAATGTGTTATCCATAGCTGGGTAGAGAAATATTTCCAAAATGTGTTGTCTACAGCTGAACACACTGATGTATGTGGTTAGAGACAGAATGTGTTGTTGATTTTACCACATCTGTTTTAGGAGTGTAGTAAGTAATGGCTGTTTTTGTGACCCCTAATGAAATCTGAGATTCTTTACAAATGAACCTTTTCACATCAAACCACTCTGAATGATTTTGTTCACATCTCAACCACTGAATTATGCAGACATTCCCCTTGAGGCATTTACTTTCTAACACTTTAGAAAGTACATCGCCAGAATATTTAAAAGCTTTCCTTCTCCTTAAGCGGCTTTTTTAGCGCGAATTTCTCCCGCGGAGCTGCAGCTGCTCTTTGCTGAAAACTGCAGCGACGACAAAGACGTTCATTCGATCCGGTCTTCTAACAACGTTCTACTACCCGGTCCTTCCGAGCATGCGCAGATCATACAGTACAGCATCTTAGTGTTTCAACCGATTTATGTTTTTAATGCTAATTCAGTAAAGACTCAGCTTAATATTACTACTTACCCCCTGATGATGTGATTTAGACTATCGGAATATCCTGTTTATTTTTTTTAATGCTGGTAACATGTGATTAGGAGATTTACACATCCTACCTATACATTTCAGTGCTGGTAGCATTTTCTGATACGGTTTTTAGGCTCTCAAAATATTCTACCTACAGTTTTATGTACGGAGCTACTAATACATATGCGCCATATTAGGACATTTCGACAAAATAGCTCACGTGCAAGTGAGCTGTAACCGACTGTGGCAATGGTTATGTCCGTCATATAGACTAAAGACATTCTAATACATTTTAGAAAGACAATTATTGACAGATCTTTGAACATGAAATATAATACCACACTATGAAATACAATACCACATCTCTCTCTGTAGGCTGTGTAGCTGGCTTCCTCTGTCTGGCATTAGTTCGTGTGTAGTTCGAGTCAGTGAGTAGAAGGAAGAAGTAGTGTAACCTCCATCAGAACTGGCTGTAGGTGCCAGTGAGCTGACTTGGCTAATCATAGTGCGATTCTCCGCAGACAGTTCAAAAGATTCAGTTCGGTGAGCCGAATCAAACTTCCCAGCGAAACGGACAGTTCGAAAGAATCGTCTCGGTACAATGAATCGACTTTTCCGTTGAGATGGACAGTTCGAAAGAGTCGATTCGGTAGGCTGAATCAAAGTTCCCACTGAAACAGACCGTTCAAAAGAATCGGCTCGGTACATTGAATCGGGTGTTCCGTCGAGATGGACAGTTCAAAAAAGTAGATTCGGTGATCTGAATCAAACTTCCCATTATTACGGACAGTTCGAAAGAATCGGCTTGGTACAATGAATTGAGTTTTCCGTCGAGCTGGACAGTTCAAAAGAGTCAATCGGGAGGCCAAGTTCGGAAGAATCGGCTCGGTACAATGAATCGATTTTTCCGTCTAGCTGGACAGTTCAAAAGAGTCAATCGGGAGGCCAAGTTCGGAAGAATCGGCTCGGTACAATGAATCGAGTTTTCCGCTGAGACGGACAGTTCGAAAGAGTCAATTCGGTAAACTTCCCATTAAAACGGACACTTCGAAAGAATCGACCTTACCATCGCTGCAGTTGGCCGGCGGCAGCAGTCAAGTGTCCTCAAAAACTCCACTGCGAGAATGGCAATATCCATCTGCAGGTATGTTTGTCCTTCATTAATACTTCTGGAGTTAAATGAGCTGTACTGGCTAGCGGAGGGCTTTGTTCATCGCTGAATAACTCACAACAGTGACAAGTTGTGTCATGTTTTTGTCACGCGCTGGTGCTTCAGGTGATACCATAAACTGTGTAATTTGCACTGCGGTGAGACAAAGATTAAGACGTGCACCGCGCGGTCAGTGAGATTCTCCACGTTTAGGCTAGTGCAACCTGAAAGTGTTCAGACAGAACAGCATTAATGTGAATGCTGTTATTTTGCGATAACCATCACTGTCGTCATAGGTCTCGTCTGTGTGAGTATGCTCTGTTTTTGGTGCTGTTCTGTTGTAAAGGTTTATCTTCTTCCTCACTGGCTCTGGTTTCTGTCTGTGTTTCTCACATTCATACTAAGTTGGGATTTTTGGCCCTTACAACACACATGAGTCTAATTTAGAACAGGAACTCCCAAAAGCAGGCTAATGTGATTATACACACAGCTTTGCCTCTCATCCCTGTAGTCTGTAGTTATATAGAAGACAACTTTCTAAAACAGCTTATTTTTTACTTTGTTCCCTTTCTTTGTTTACTTTAGGCACCTGGGGGCATGTAGCCCATCAAATGCAATTAACTGCAATTAATGCAGTCATGCTTGTTTCTAGTTGTAACTCTTGCCCTCAGCGTTGATTTCTGCATGTTAGGGAGTTACATGCCCTGCAGGCCCACTTCACTTGTAAAGACAGGCTTCTTTAAGCTGGAGCAATAGACAGCATTTCATAATACATGCTTCTTAAAGCTACACCAGGTAAGACTGTGAGGTTTTAAGCATTGAAGGAACAATATGTAATATGTTTAATTTACTTAATCATGAAGTGATCATGATGTGTCATCAGAGATAAAGGAAACATGCTAAGTTGAAATACTGGCTTCTCCAATAACAGTGCTACAGCCATATGTTCTTTGAAAAATTTCCGTTCCGGAGCGGAATGTGTGTTTGTGTTTTGGCCTGTGATCCCGCCCACTGCCCATTTGCCAGTACCATTTCAACACCTTGGGTTGCCAGATATAAAACAAATTGGCCAGCAAACACACTGTGTTAAAGCCATGGAAGTAAGCAAACAAACTGGATCAACAGAGATAACAGTAGATTCCACCTGACCTAAAAATCCTTCTATAAAGCTCCTTGACCAGAGATGTAGTCAAACACGGGAAAATATTGACAATGCGTTTGAAAGACGGAGACAGCTTAGAGCCCAGAAGGACTTTAAGACGGATGCTGAGCTGGCTGATTTTCTCCTGAGCAGGTAAGCATTGAGCTTCAGCTAAGGTTAGCTAACCTTAACTAATTTATCACAGCTACTGGTTGGGATGGGCATTTTAAGCAATTTCAGTATTCAGGTACTCGTATTCATATGCTGATAACAGGCTCAGCTTTGGCTACATAGCCAGCCATGCATCTGGCTAATATGGACAGAGTTATAAAAATCCATGAGCTGGTTTATAATTTGCAAACAATAAAAACACTGCAAACATACGTTAGCTGATCAACTTACAGTATAGAACTCGTTGTGCTTGTCATCGTCAGAGTCTAATGTTGTGCTCGTTCATGTAGGTTAAGTGTCCTCAACCTGGCAACCTGCTTGAGCTTTGAGTGTAGGGAGGAGGGGTGGAGCAAACAACTCCCTCCATTATTTTGTATTTGGATTGAAGTACCTATATTAAATGCTTTCAGTCAGTATTACATTGTTCCTTTAATATTGTTTGCCACTTATTTTCTCCACAAATATCTTTAAAAATATGTTAATCTGTATTTATTACTATTATTTTTTTCCATACAGTGCTTTGCAGTGATTTGCAGTGCATGGTGAAACCTTTATTTTAAATGTTCATGTAGGATTTCTTTTATGTTTACACTTATTGAGAATAACTAGATATGTTATGGCAGTTACTTATCAGGAAGCTGAAACTCTCAAAGCTTGCTTAAACAATCCCTCATTAAATACACTGACATAAGTTTGCTTTTCATGTGTTTGTGTTTAACTGCCTCCCCAGCGCAGCCAAGATGGAAATCACTAAGTCTTAATGAAACTACAAAGGAGAGCTACAAGTTTGTTGGATCTTACGTAGAGGAGACATTGTACTGAGCCTCAATGGCAGAACATATAGCCTCTGGTTTACTGGAAGCATGTGTTGTTGTTGGAGCCTCAAATGACAAGCTGAAGGAGCTGTATGAGGTAAGATGAGCCTGGCATTTCAAATCATATTTACATTGGCCACATGGTAAATACCTCAGTGTTACGCAGTGTGTAATTAATCCTGTTGGTCATTTTGCTTTTAATGAAGAACACGCGTTGTTTTAAAGTAAATGTGTCTGGAAAAAAGTCTGAAAATCAGTGTGTAACATTAAGAACTACTGAAATACATATTTTCTGCAATTAAGTAAAAAAAAGTATTCACTGTAAATAAATTCACTGTAAAAAATTATGCACCTTTTAAACTTAAAGTAACCTGGTTAACTAGAAATTTTGAGTTCATTAAACTTGTAATATTATGTGAACAGAAGAATAATTTGTGTTTTACATTTGTTAATGAATAATTAAAGTGCAATAACCTCAACATTTCTAGCTAACCCAGTTACATACGTGTTTAAGTTTAAAAGGTGCACAATTTTTTGTCAGTGTGGCAAAGTTTCGGTAGTGTTATGATTGTTTTGTTAGTGACAAAATAGAATGTTTAATCATTAGTTTCAATAAAATAAACCTAATTAAAGTATAGGGTCATTCAAAGCAAAAGCAAAAGTGTGTGTTTTTAACTTTTGACTTTGAACCAGTTCAGTAGGAAGATCCATATAACATGTTTATATATATGTGACTGCTTGTTATACTGAGTGCAGCTCAGCCATGCTCTTAAAAATAAAAGTGACTCCGCAGAAGAACTTCTTTTGGTTCTGTAAAGAACCTGTCAATGGGGGCTCTTTTAAAGAATAATTATTGTGAATGAGATGTGTACATGTGAAGAACCTATTTAAAGTTTAAAGAACCTCCACACTGTGTAAAGCTTCTACCAACTGAAGGTTTTTCCAAGAACCATACAGTCATATGAAAAAGTTTGGGCGTACTGTTTGTTGATATTCTAAGTGTAAAGAAGTTAACACATTCTCTACAGAGAACTCACTGCTGTACATTTCAATACACAATTACTGTTTATTTGCTAATATTTAACATATTGGGGAAAAAATAAAACATGCTTTGTGCAAGAAAACACATTTTGTGCTTTATATTTTATTGTTTCTGATATGTTAAACTCAGCAAATCAATAGAAAATGTGGACTACAGTTAGCAGAAAAAATGTATATTTATTAAGTATGTTCTCTGTAGATCGTGTGTTAACTTATTTTCAACAACAAAACATGTCATTTAAGAGGGGTGTTCGAACTTTAGCATATGACTCTCTGTCCAAACCAAGAGCCATGACCATTATTCTTAAGAGTGCAGGTGGGGATTTGGACATAAGCACTTGAAACGCCAAGCCAAATTCTATTTGAGTTTTTAAGACTAAAGTGTCTAGTTTAAATAAGTTTAGGATACTATGATTGTATTAACATATTGTAGAATTGTAGAATTATAAATTATAACTATTAACTTTTTTTCAGAATTTAACTTCCATAGAGTTTGAGATGCCAGTCTGATGCATTACAACAGAGATCTGACTTTCATTTTTTATGTGTAAAAAAGTGCACTCATTATCAGAGTCAGAATCAAACTGAGTTGGGATCATCTCTGCTAGGCCATGACATCATATTTATTCAAATGGAAACCACTCACTGTAGTTTCAGTGACATGAGACTTACCAGTCCCACCCCTGAACCTGTCCTGTATTGGTATTTTCTCAGTCTCTGCAGCAGGAGAATGGGGTTCCTCTACCTCTGCTCGACCCGGAGGTCTTGCAGGTCCACGCGCCTCCATTTGTGACGAAGGAGAACATGACTGAGCCTGGCATAGGACACTTCAGCCGGGGCCAGAGGAGACGCTCTTTCATCAAGAAGAAGAGCAACAGGCCAGGGGTTGCCCCTGGAAACACAAAATCGAGTGAGGGCTCTACAGGGGACGTATCTGTGCCCAAAGATCTGGACCTGGTGGCCCTGCCTCAGCTATGCTTTCCAGGTAAAACCCTACTAAATGAGGAAATAAGTCAGCCTAAGCAGAACTCCTATCTATTAAACCTGAAACAATATAGATTATGTTTTAAAAAATGTCTCAGTAAAGGATCCTAAATGATTGTTAAATGGGATGTTCCATGAAAACTTTAACTGCTCTCGTCTTTACATTATATGGAGGTTCCTTAAACTTTTAAAGGGATCTGCACAATCGCACATCTCATTTATAAAAATGGTTTATTAAAGGAGCATCCATTGAAAGGTTTGTTACGGAACCAAATCACTCCAAAAAACCAAATAAAACTTGTTGACACCGTTGTTTTTCAAGTCTGCCCAATTGCATTTCCAAAAGTTTTTATATTCTTTAACTCAACATGAACAATTTAAACAGTTGATAAAAAGCCGTCCACAAAAACTATAAAAGAAATATATTGAAAATGAGAAGTAAATGCTTAATTTAAGCATGAACACCTGCCAAAGGGGTTAGCAAAGTTTTCTTCAAGATTTATTGTAATGAGCACAAACACACACACACACACACACACACATTATCTAAGCCACTTATCTTTCTGGGTCACGGGGGGGGCTGAGCCTATCTCGGCGCTTATTGAGCAGAAGGCATGAAACACAAAGGACAGGTTGCCAGTCCATCACAGGGCTTGTAATAAGCAACAATATCTAATTCTTCATGTCATCCAAAATATTGAAAAATGGTAGGAAAATATGTAAAATTAGCATTTTAAATGTGAAATAAGCATCAAGATTCTGTTTCCATGCACCAAAAAGGCTTTCAAATTCTATCACAGAATCTGTGAAGTAAGAGGACACTGCTACTCTAAATTTAACCACGTTAAATATAACTTCTGATACAATAGTCATAATAAATAGATCAGTGATTCTTTGGGTGGATCTCTTATCTTTAATCATTCATCCTTGCCTCCTTTCCTCGCATCTTAGCCTCTCCCTCTCAGGAAATGAGGAAAAGATGCAAGGACAAGATGCAGGTTCAAAGGAAACCACACCAAACGTGTTTACCAAGTGAGACGTCCTTCATGCAATCATCACTTTCACAGATCTGTCAATAATAAACACTTACATTCTGTGATCAACAGAATTTTCACATGGAAATGCTTTATTAAAATGCAGCCACATCAACCTTTTAATTAACTGTCATCATCCTTGGGCGGTATCCTATTAACTGTAATCATCCAATGATTACACAAAGAGAAACTGTAACACACACCTACGTTACACATTGCGATGAAAAAGACTTCTGCTTAGGATACACGTGTTTCCTCATACTGGAAGCCTCCTCTCTCCTCTCTTTGACTGCTCAGAGTGCGTTTAAAGAAACGATACCTGAAAGTATGATAAACTAAATAATCTTACACTCAGTGATTTGTAAGACAAGTAGTCTTATCAGAGGAAAAACTGTTGCCTTGATGTGAGATAATTTCACTTGCTAAGATTTTTTTAGTTTATTAAACTGTATTAAACCCCTGATCAGAATTTGCCAAACCTATGAATTTAACACTGAGTTAACTGTCAGAGAGCAACAGAGGTAAACATATAGTGGGCATAGTCTTGTAGCACTGCAGATGTTTGAAAGCTATTCCAGGCGTACCAAACCAGAGCTGCCTCTTTCAGAGATTAGTGATTGGTGCTTTTTGATAAGACATTGCTGTACTGTACTAATACTTTTTCTCTTAAACCAGGAGGACTTCAGGTATCCAAGCAGCTGAAGGACGATCATTTCCACTTTCTGGTCTTCACTGACGTCTTTGGAAACCAGACGCATGGAGTGGTTGTTCACTATTACAGACTTATACAGGTTAGACTCTTCAGCAAATCACAGAGCTCTACTTTCAGAATGCAGGATATCTGAACTACAGTATATAGTAGAACTGTAAAGAGAAATGTCAACTACAAAATGTCAACTACAGCACAGTAATATGTGTAAATATGTGCTATTCTTTCTTTCAAGCTAGTGCCAGTATTTGGTTTTCTAGACCTCTATCAAGTGGTGGAAAATGCTCAAAATGCACAAGGTTTCCACTGTAGCACATTTAGTTGCAGTAAAGGATACATATAGCAAACGGGTGTGTAAAACACCAGCATTTCTTTACTCATTTGTTTATTTATGAATGCTTTCCAGGTTTTACATTATTAAACTCATTCATTAATGATCTTTTATTATTGTTTTTCTTTTTTTCAAGATAAATCAGCTATTTCAGGAGGGGGCGCAGCACCAGAATGGCCATGTCCACAAACATCCTCAATTTTATGCACCTTATGGAGTTTGCATTATATCTAAGCACCCCTACTATACTGCTTTGAAGGACTGCCTGTCATGGTAAGGGTCACACTGTGCATTCTTTTGGCCAGTTTATTCTCACAGTTGCAGAGCAGAAAAGCAAGCAAACTAATGACCAACTTTGAAAAGGAAACACAAAGAGCAAGGGGTAGTGACTCATCAGGTTTTATGTTCTGTGGGTGGGGTATGATTACATTCCTTTACTCAATGTTTTGTTCATGAGCTCCCATTGAGCTGCAGCCTTAAAGAGTGAGATGATTGTGAGGGTGAAGAGAACAAGCAGAAAAGCACAATGACAAATGACCAGTCAAGATTGTGGTTGCATGATAAATTGTAATAGATTGGTGTTTTTAATATCTGTTTTGGTTGTTTCCTCTTCCTCTACAGCCTACTGGGGCAGCTGAAAACCTGCCGGATGGCAGACTTGGACGAGCGAGTGAAAGAGTTTTCAGCCAAACTGGCTTTGGTGCCCATTCCTCCCCCTGGACCACTGCATGTGGTGGGTTCAGTTTCACTGCCAGGGCAAAATATCATGTTCAAGAAAATCAAAGCAGTCCATAGGCACTATATGTCTCATGTCCATTTAATAAATATCGATACTGAGATAATGGAGGATGAAGTGTCTCAGACATTGAGCTTTACCGTCCTTTGCTGTACTTAAGGTCTGTAATTAGTTACAAAATTGTGAATGAGGCTCTCTGGGTTTCCTGTCAGATGTTCACCTTACGACCCCTGACAATTGTGCTTCCGTCAAGAGAGGATAAAGATCGTCCTGTCATTGACCTGGACCTGCACCTCCCATTCCTGTGCTTCACTCCCAGAGTACTGCTGCAGGTCAGACATACAAACATGATCAACCTCATGCAATTTCTTGGTTACCTTGTTAATTGAGGCCTAATGTTGCTGTGCACTTAGACAAGCGTTTGAAGAACAGTCATGTGCAATTTTGGGCACCTCTGGTCAAATTACATGTTTTGTTGATTGTCTAAGTGAGAATAAGTTACACATCCACTACAGAGAACAAACATCTGCACATTTTAATGCAGTTTTTATTTACTATTTGTTTTAATTACGATTTGTTTGGTGATTTTAACATAATGGGAAAAAAATAAAACATAACATGTGGCCTGTTGGTCTAGCAGGAGGGGATAGATATTTGTTGCAGGTGTTCTTAGCAGCCAGCAAGTGGGCAGTGGTTCTCAGACTTGGTCTGACAAATATCAGATGTTGAAATGGAAAAATTGTATTGTTTCGTTAAAAAGATATGTTAATTTTAAATTTGATGCCAGCAACATGTTTCAAAATAGTTCTGACAGGGGCAACAAAAGACTGGTAAAGTTGTGTGAAGCTGAAACATCTCCTGGTGGAACATCTCAAAACTAATTAGGTTCAGAGAGGCTGAGTCTTTCAGAAGTAAAGATGGAGAGGGGTTCACCACTGTGTGAAAGACTGTGCGGGCAAATAGTGCAACAATTTAAGAACAACGTTTCTCAATGTAAAATAGCAAAGGGATTTCATCATCTGTGGTACACTCTTGAAAATGATGGTTCTTTAAAGGTTCTTCAGTAAAGAAAATAGTTCTATATAGAATCATGAGCGCTCAGAGAAACCTTTGCATGATTAAAGGGTTCTTTGCATCATGAAAAGGTTCTTCAATGTGTGTTATTTACAACAATTTGAAATATTTTCTTGTTGAGTTTTGCTCTAATGAGACCAAATGGAAATTGAATATTGTTTAAAAAAGGGACAAATATGCTTGGATGGAGATCAGTGTACTTGGAGGAGGGTACTCAAATATAGCCAACGTGTGGAAAACACTGGAAATGTGGAGCAAAGCGAGTGGAAAATGACATGAAACACAGACCGAATCATGGAATGGTTTCAACACAAAAGTCCTGTGCTAAGAAGACAGAATATACAGGAGCACAAACGCAAACATTGCAGGTTTTCGTTCCAATCAAGCACAAGCACTCCTGATTCCACTTGATTCCAGTTGTTCTGAGTCTTTAAAACAATTGATTACTTATATAAGGTGTGCTTCTGCTTGCTTGGAATGAAAATCTGCGGCCACACAGGCCATTTAAGGATCAGACTGGGGACCCCTGCACTAAAATGTGCAGAACGGGGGGGGCTTCAGGACCACAGTTGAGAACCACTGAACTGCTAATGATTAGCTAATGAAGCACATTGGTATGTATGTCAGCTGTAAGTAAAATTTTCCACTCAATTAACAAACAGTAACAAGTTCAAATATAGATCATTGAGCCAGTTTGAGAGTTTGACTGTCTCTCTGTGCCCGTAGATAATTACCAGTATCCTGACGGAGCAGCGGCTGGTTTTCTTCTCTTCTAACTGGGCCAGGCTGACACTGATGGCAGAGTGCTTCATGCTGTATATCCACCCTCTGCGCTGGCAGCACCCTCTGGTGCCCACCCTCTCCCGCCAGATGCTGGACTTCCTCATGGCACCCACTGCTTTCCTCATGGGCTGCCATCTCAACCACTACCAAGAGGTTGCTACGGTAAATTTAGGTCACCACAGGGTTTTTTTGAGCATATCTTGGGTATCATCAATGCGTCCACAGCAATGACAAACTTTTGCATAATACTGTAAGGTTTCTTCCTGCCCAGATTCTAAGAGAACAAAATTTACCCTGTTTAAATGGATGTAGTGGAAAAATTAAACATTGACTTAAGAACTGTCCTTGTAGTAACTATTTTGAAATGATACACTAATAAATTTTGTCGCAACAAAGCAAACCTTAGAAAAACAAAACAGAATGTATTATATCATGTATTTTAAAAAGTAGCTCTCAGACATTATGAGATCATATTTTTTGCCTATAGTTTCACCCTGTGGTTAGTTAGTTGTCTAAGCAGTAGCTGGGAACTTCTTCTTTTATGGCTACCACAGAGGCAGTATAAGGAGCTCGCCATATGTCCTTCACTTTCAGGTTCAATCAATCCATCTTCTTAGAGCATGTATGAATATAGTTTTTCTTAATGTTGACTCGATCATATTATATTATCTTACGCTGCTACAATGCAAGTTTTTCTTTGAATCAGGAGACAGATGACTTGATTTTGATCAATGTTGATGAAGGGACCATCTCCTCAGACCATGCTGACATACCAGAAGCTCCACGTGCAGCTGCTGAATGTTTTAAGAGACGGTAAGAAAAATGGTGAAGAAACATACCCTGCACCATGAATCCATCACCATAGAATATCTTATGTAGGTCTCAGACTAAGAGTACAGACATTGTAGTCAGAGCTTCTGAGAACAAGTAAACAAATTAAAGTTAAGTACACTGGCTTTTATGTACACTGACAGTTAACAACAATTAAATAAGGGCGAAAGTGGGGCAACCGTTTAAGCATTGGCCTTATCATTTGATCCCGGCAGTTAGTGTTCTCCTCCAAGCATGTTTGAAAATTGTCTCTGAGGAAGCTCATGCTAGCCTTTACCCACCCAGCCTGGTAGCATTGAGTGATTGGGTTAAACTAGCAAGTGACATTGGGCTTGACTAAATTCTTAGTTAAAAATTAGTTAAAAATAAATATGTTATTATTAATTACTTAATTAGTAATTATCAAGCAATTATTATTTACTTTGGATTATGGTATTTCTCTGATAAAGTTTCTGCTAAAGTAGAGTGGGCATGTGTTTCTGATATGTGTTTTGTGAGCAGACGAAATGGCCTTCATTTACACTATGATGTAGAGGCAGTTCACCAGGGTGCCTGCATGGATATTAATGATCTGCGCATGCGGAGGAGAAGGTGGCAGGAGAACCTCAACTGGGAGATACAGAAGGTCACTCTGGAGTTCATTGTGAATATCTTCAGGTCAGTTAGTTAGAATTAGTTAGAATGTATTAGTTACAGCTATGAGTAATTTTAGAAAGTGTGACTACTGTCTCTTTAAATAAAACTACCTCTTTTCTCAGGGACGTCAGTGATCACCTCAATTATGAACACAGGGTCTTCAACACTGAGGAGTTCCTAAAGACCAGAGAACCTGTGGACCAGCAATTTTATAAAAAGGTGACATTCATTTCTGACGAAATGTCTTGTCTGTGGTCTGTAGATTCTCATTACTGATGAACATTTCTGTCTGACAGGTTTTGGAATCGCACATTTTTCATTCCTTCTTGAAAGATCGTTTAAGCAGAAAGACAGATGCCTTCACACGGATGGAGCTGAGCACCCGAACAGAGGCCCAAAAGTAAGCAGAACTGTTTTTCCAAACATTCTAAAGTCCGAAGACTTTTGGGTTATTTAGGGGCGCCTAATTTAAGTTTAATGAGTCAATTACTGGAGGTGCTCTAGTACACAGAAAAATACTCATACACCACAGATTTGTAATGGAGATATGTGTTGCAGAATGAAAGCTGGAGTTGAGAACCCTCGGAGGCCCACCATGCAGGAGATGGCGCGGAAATACAACTGCCCAGAGAACCGCCTGAGTAAGAGGCTAGGCACGAGTCTACCCAATCTGGGGGAGGAGAAACACCTGAGCATCCCCAGACACGCCTCAGTCACCAAAGCCAAAGCCATTCCTGACATCTGTAAGAGATCTTCATTTTCTATCACTGCACCAGCTTACATACAGAGACCCTTTAAATGGCATGTTAATATAGTTATTATCATCTGTTTCTTTGGGATTTAGTTTAGATGCAGTTTAGATTAGGTTTCCAGTTATTAGTTATTTTTTTAAATGTTGTGGTTTGATCATAAAATAAAAAATTAACACTGATGTTTATTTATTTATTTAATTATTTATTTGGCACAAAGGGATCAGGGCACATAATAAGAAAGCATATGTATTAAAGCATTGCTTAAGTATTACATTACTATTAAAGGGCCTGTATCATGGAAAACACATTTTTTTCTTGCTTTCAGGAAAACTGGAAATTTGATGTAGTATGAAAACAGTAAAAACATTTTGAAAAGACCCTGTTCACTCCCCAGTACATGCAGTCCATATGTGGAAACTAAGCTGTAAAAATGGCTCCTTTTGAAATTATTAGTTTCTGTGATGTCATAAAAACAAACACATTTACATATTTCCACCTATACAGTCTACAGCAGTCTGGCCCTGCCCGTTCACACAGAAGTTATGAGGAGTGTTTCAGTGCAGAACACAGGACAGCCAATCAGAACAGTGGTACACAAAAGTTTGGTGCTCTTGGTCAAATGAAATGTTTTGTTGTTTTTCTGTGTGAAAATAAGTACACATCCTTTGCATAGAACACTCTTTGGCACATTTTAATGCATAGTTATTGTTTATTTGCTGATTTTAATGTAATGGGGAAAAATAAAACATAAAATGTGGCCTGTGCAAAAGTTATGGCACATTTTATATTTTATGATTTATTTTTTCCAATATATTCAAATCAGCATATTAGAAATTGTGCACTATATTTACGTTAGTTCTTTGTAGAGGATGTGTTAACTTATTTTCTCTTAGAAGAGCAATAAAACATATAATTTGACCAGGGGTATTCAAATTTTTGCATACCATCGTATCAGTCTTAAAGGAAAAGTAACAAAAACAGCCTATTTAATTCTAAGGGATAAAGAAAAATGAGAAAATAAGCATGTAAAAATAAATGTTTACTGTTTTTGATACTTAAACCTGCACAAACCTTATAAGTGGACCTCAAGGAAAAAGGAAAGAAAAATGTAGGACGTGCTCTTCAAAATGTTTTATAAAGTGCAAAGCCACCTTCTTTGACCAAGTTTATATTTCAGTTTATAAAGTTGTATTTAAACAATCCACCAGGACAATATTTTGACCATATATGAATTTTTGTCTGCCAAGACTACTCCTTCTCCAAGAAAAAGTTGTCCTGTGTGACATTTAACAGTGCCTTTTCTCAACAGCTCTAGATATCCCAGCCAAGCAGATTAAAATCTTTAAGCTGCCAGAGTTCCCTCCACCTTTGGTGTATCAGTATGTCCACCACTACTATGGAGAGGTGACCCACCAGTTAGGGAAAGCCATGGCCTCTCTCCCTACTGGTGACTCTTCTCTGCTAGCCAGATATTACTACCTCCGTGGTCTTGTCAATACCTTGAATTCCAAACGTTTGGAGGCCCTCAGCGATTTTCAGAACCTGTACAAAACGGACGTTGAGCTGTTCCCTGGGGAGCTGGTCCGGACGTTGGTGGACTCTTTGCAGAAGGAGGAGAGGGCTCAGGCAGAGAGGCGTTCTGAACTCAGGCGGCTGCTCTGTAAGCTGAAGAGCGATGAGAAGAGTGAGCTGGTGACAGATGACCATGTGAAGAAGTTTCAGCTTCCCAAAATCTCCATGCATCTGGAGGAGTTTGTGACATGCATTCAGGAGTCAGGCATTGTCAGAGATATGGCCACCATCCACAGACTGTTCGAGGCTCTCACTGATGGTAAGTTTCTCTCATGGTAGAAGAGCATGTTATAAATCCATGTGTTAATAATGGTTTATCTGATGTTTTATAATCTAGGGTTATAACAATGAACCTATACAATTCCACTGATTTTTCAAAATTTCTGCATAATCAAATCAAGATTTCTTGAGATGCTCACAGAGCCAGAACTGTTCACAGTGGTGGTGATAAGAACCAGACAATCAAAGTATGTAATGCATCTAAATGCTACGTCACAGAAAACATTTTAGCCTAAAATGTATGTTTTAAAAGCTATCAATGGCAGAAAGGTACATGTAGGCAAAATAGTTCCCAAAGAAAACATACAGTTTCAGATTTACCTCTTTTTTATAATGAACATTACATATTAAAACTCATATGACACACGTAGGTTCACTTAAAAGTAAAATAAAATGACTATTTTATTTACTGCAGTTGAATATTTTTGTAGAGCTCACTTTTGTCGTGTTTAGGTGTCAGTTTAAGATTTGAACTCAGATCCTCTGTGTATGAATCATAAAGCATGGCTTTTGAAAAAGAGAAACTGTTATGGAATGCTTCTGCATGTTTCAGCATGTTTCTGAGATGCTGAATACTTGAATCCCAACTAATATGTCTGGTTTAAAAACACAGTGACTGGCAATACTTTGGAATTTTTAGTCTACTATGTCCTGGTTAAATTAGATAAAATAGTCATAATGTGCAATAACAGTCCAAAAAAAAGCTCTGAAAAGTCTTTTATCTCATTATTCTCCCAGGTCAGCAGAAGGTGGTAGATCCAGAGCTGTTTCGGGTTTTTTACACATTCTGGAGGGAGACAGAGGCAGAGGCCCAAGATGTTCACCTGCCCTCTGAGGTCATCGAGCATCTGGATAATAATGAGTGTGTGTACAAACTGTCCAGCTCTGTTAAGACCAATCATGGTGTTGGGAAGATTGCTATGACACAGAAGAGGCTCTTTTTGTTGACCGAGGGCAGGCCAGGATATGTTGAAATCACCAAGTTCAGAGACATTGAGGTTTGTTCTTTCATATCATATTTCTATTTGGACATCAAATCAAATCAAATCATGTTTATTGTGACATCACGTTTACACAGGTGCGAAAGTGAGTGAAAATCTTTGAGGTACTTAAAGTAACAAAAAAATGATATATATATATATATATATATATATATATATATATATATATATATATATATATATATATATATATATATTTGACCATACACATATACACCAGTGTTGCACCATTCCAATCTACAGTTTTGTACAGTAATATGTTATGAAATTAAAGCTATGATATGTACAGTTGTACACTTTTCCATATGTGCAATATGTCTGAGGTATATAAATAGATGAGATGCAGGGTACACTGGGCATAGAATATTGATATATAGATATTCCAGATATATATCAAGATATGCATAGTAGATGTACAAGATGTCAATCTATATGTGCAGGTATAGGTTGGCTAGATAAAAGTTACAGTGTGACATCAGAGTGAGACCAATACATCAGCACTACTGGCTTTTTAGCAGCCTGATGGCCTGGGGGAAGAAACTGTCTCAGAACCGTCTGGTTCTGGACTTTATGCTTCTGTACCTCCTCCCGTTTGGCAGCTGTGAGAACAGAGAGTGGCTTGGGTGGGTGGAGTCCTTTAGAATCCTCCTGGTCTTCCTCAGGCAGTGGGTGGTGTATAAATCCAGGAGGTTTGGTGATAAGGGTCAGTTAGGAGGAGGTGATGTTGCCCATCCTCACCACCTGGCGTCGGCCCGTCAAGAAGTTCAGGATCCAGCTGCACAGAGAACTGTTCGGAACCAAATCCCGAAGCCTAATGTCGAGACTTGAGGGCACAATGGTGTTGAATGCTGAGCTACGGTCCGAAAACAGCATTCTCACATGCGTGTTCTTTTTGTCCAGATGATGTTGAACTGCAAATAAATTGATGAATATATTCTGTCCATTAACATAATTTTTGTTAGTTTTGAACTCTGTAGAATTATGAATATTCACAGTGCTATATTATAGAAAGTCATCCACATCTAAAGCCTGTTTCTGTTCATTTCTGTTGATGTTAGTTCTTTCCAGTCTGTACTGCATAGTACTGTAGGCTGTGAGCTCTAATGCAGCTGAAGTTGATTTGTACTGATAACTGCACCCCAACTGCAGCTGAAAGCTTATCATTGAGTATGACTGTCCCCCAAGGAGGTGAAGATCTCTGCTGCTTCGTTCCTGCTGCTGAGAATTCCCTCTCTGAAGATCAAGAGCAGTCTGAGGAAGGAGGTTTTCGAGGCCAATCTGAAGTCTGAGTGTGACCTTTGGAGCCTGATGGTCAAAGAGATGTGGGCAGGCAGGAGAATGGCTGATGACCACAAGGTAGATGAAAGTTATATTCACAATACCATGTTGAAATGGCACAAAACCGATTTTGTGCCGTCATGTGACACTAGCTAGGTTTCCTTCCATGTATTTGTGACATATTAAATTAAAAAGACCTGATGGAAATGACAAATACCAAATAAAAGTAGACAATTGTCACACAAAAGTTTTTATGTTTGGTGTGGATACAGATTTAAAAAGAAATGCAGTTAAAAAGAAATGCAACAAATTAAGACGGAAAAGCGTTTGTCACATAAATAATGTAAATGCAAACTCAGTCTACAGAGTTTTATTGTCTTTTATAGAGCTGACGGAAATGCAGCCTAATTCACATACATTTATGCGAGATTTCAGTTATTCATTTGAGTTTCGTTTATTATTAAATTATCTTATTTTACCTTTTTGAATCAGATTGGAGCCACTTTCATCCACTGTATGCCGAAAAGTATCCAGACACTCCTTCTAATTAGTGAATTCCGCTACTTTAAGGTGAAACCTCTGCTGACACAGGCTTTCAGTTGTGCACACACAGCTTGTATAATCTCCATGAACCATGAAAGAAGGTCACTATACACAATGCCAAGTGTTGACTAGAGGAATAAAGAGGTATTCTCTTGAGTGATGGCGCTCCATCCAATACCTTTATGATGAGTTGGAGTGGCGCTTGTGATGCAGAACTAATCATCCAACATCAGTACCTGAACTCACTAATGCTCTTGTGGCTAAATGCAGTCAAATCCTCACAGCAATGTTCCAACATGTAGTGTAAAGTAATCCCAGAGGAGCGTTGACAGCATGGCAGCCACAGCTAACTTGATGTTAGAACCAATAACAGCTGCCAGAGTATTAATGCATCTAGCATTTTTGTACCTCCTTGCTGTAAATATGAACAGAATAATAAATAATTTGTTATTTATTCTTATGTTAATTAATTGCCAATGATGTACGTGTATTGTGCATTTGACTGAATTGAGCAACGAGGCTTGTAATGTGAGTGTAGTCTAATTTACCCTTTTTGTTGTTTTTTGCTTAACATTTTTAAGTGAGTCTGGATTAATTACACTGCTGTCAGGTAAAATGCTAATTTTTATTAGATTTTTTTTTAATAATACTGTGTGGCAGTTTTTTGTGGGCATTGTTTAAGGGTCTTTCTGCACCTTAAAAACATCCAACCCCTTAAAATGCCAAAAACCTAACACAGAAATGTTAACCATATCCTTCAGCAACACTGTATTTTGTGCTGGATATATGGGGATATGCTCTGTTTTAGCACAGGAGGTGTGTAGACATGGAAAAATACGGGACGTTTCCATTACCACATGAGGGTCACTGGAGCATTCCATTAGTTATTTTCCAGTGTAAAACCTTCGCCAAAGATACACACACCCTGCTGCTTCCTCATGACCCTGCCAACTGTCCTTCTGTGGAAAATGTAAGAAAAAGTTTGGAAAAGAGGTCTAATATGTTTTTTTTCCAATAGGTCTTCTTTTCACAAAAATTACACAAGACACTGCAGTTGGTTTTTATTGACTGGGTTTTGTTCTGAAGGTTTGACATGCTGCAAATGTTTCCTCTTTTAGGATCCTCAGCACATGCAGCAGGCTTTGGCTAATGTTCTTCTCATGGACGCTGTTGTGGGCTGTCTACAGTCACCAAAGGCCACAGTAGCTGCCTCCAAATTGGCTTACTATGATAAGATGAAGAAGGAGGGTAAGCAAACTGAAACAAAATACTGCACTGAATTGACCTCATTCAGTAGTGTTAAGTTTTTATGCTGTCAGAGAGATTTTTTAAATACTTAATATGACGTATTGCCAAAAAATATGTGTTCTGTGTACCAACCTTTAAGGAAAATTCCACTCATTTGTCAATTCCTGCATAATGAAATGGTTAACGGTGGTTAAGATGTGAGCAAAGTTATTCAGAGTGGTTTTATGTGAAATGCTCTGTTTCTAGAGAAACTTAATGAGTCAGAATTGTCCACAGTGGTGGTGATAAGAACCAGACGTCTGAAGTGTTTAATACCTCTAAACGTGGACAGTTATTACATGTAAATGGTGATGAATACACTGCCTGGTATCTGAGACATTGTTTTACAGTAGTTTTCATGTAAAGTTTAGGCCTAAAACATATTTTTTAATCCATTCATAGCAGACAGGTATATGCAGGGCGTTGTATGGCAAATTAGTAATATAGTGATAGAAAGATTTACCATTATAAACAATACATATAGAAACTCAGAAGATGTGTGTAGTTCACTTGTCATTTTGGATGGAATGTATTTGTGTTGTAGACATTGTGACTGGTTTCTATCAACACCAAAAAAAAAAATATTTGCTTAGTTTCTCTACAATTATCCATTTCACATTAAACCACTCTGAATGACTAAATGGCTGCATCTCAATCCTATAATTCTGCAGAAATTGTGAAGAATCAGTATAATTACCATCTGACTTCATGGAACATCATGGTTGCAGGTCCATTGTTTTCTCCATCTCTTTGCTTTTTTAACAAATATTAACAGTGCCTATGATGGTACCTAAAACCACAGTGGAGGCTCTGAAGCACAGGATAAACCCGTCTCTGTGCATGACCACACCACAGACTGTAGATGTCCTGCTGTACACTCCAGGTTTGAATGCATTGTTTTATCCATTAATGTTCATATCGCTGTTGTCAGAAGAAAACCTCATATCTCCATTTTTGACGCTTTTCAGTTTTTGACATCATTTGAAAAAGCCTGTTGCCCTTTCCATTGTATGTAAAAATTCATCATGAATGGACTAAAAGAAATGACCCAAAACTGACTTGGAAAAAATTCCGGTTCCATTGACTTACATTAAAAGCAAAGGCGCTTCTTTACACTGAAGCTCTTACCAAAGCCTGAGTGGACTGTTAAACCAGAGTGATGATCAGTGATTAATCTTAGCATTACTGAGATCAGTGGATGATCAAAATTAACAGTCTTCTCAGTAGTGGTCATGTTTGCAATTGATAAGTTCAGCATCAGTGTTGTACTGTACTGCTCAGGGGATTGTGGGAGTAGCAAAGGACTGACGTAGATGGTGAGAGAGGAAAAAAAAATCCTGATCTCTACATTATTATTAATAATGTTATTAGTATTGTAACATACCATTCGTACATGAATTTAGCTGTAACTTGAGTGCACGTAGTATAATGCAGCTTTATAAGAGTTATCTGCTTTTGCTCCTAGGCCAGTTACTTTTGTCAGACTGTGACCTGGACGGGACTCCTAAGCTTTGGTGTGCTCTTAGACATGGGACAGTTGTGGTGTTTGATGCTGCTAGCTGGTCCATGCAGCAGAACTGCATCCAAGTAGGAACTAAACAACTGGTGAGACAACCAGTCTTAACTTTATATTTATATATATATATATATATACACATATATATATATATATATATATATATATATTGTTACATTTTGTATTAAAATCTCCTCTTGTAACCTATTTGGTTTGAGACTATGACCCTTGGTTTTGTATCTGCATGTTTAGGCTAGTTTATTGAATAGTTCCTTGCAAGCCTTCCCTGATTTTATCTCTTGCATCTTGAATGTAATATTTTTAGTGCCCTCTGGTGGTCAGGAAGCAGCAGTGCAGTAAGCAGCAGTAGCGTCTCTCCCACTGTGATCTTCTCAACGTTTCTTTTTGACTTTGCTTAGACTGAAATTTGTCTTTTTAATCTTTGTGCCCAGAATTGCATGCTGGGATTGGACCAGGAGCAGGTGTGGATTGGCTCTCAGGATTCTGTGATTTACATCATCAACACCCGCAGCATGTCTTGTCATAAGCAGCTGACTGAGCATCGAGCTGAGGTCATGGACTTTGCTCTGGAAGAGAAGAGCAGCAAGTACAGGTAACTGACACAGCAGCTGTATTTGTTGCAAGTGGCTCAGATGTCCTTTTCCAGATGACTGTCTAAAAATGGTTAATATGTTGAGAATTGAGAATGTTTTTCTTCCTCCTGTAAAGTTGCCTTTTCAGAGATACAGGTTTTGTTCTGACAATGATGTCAACATTGTGATGGCAACATTGTGATGTCACAGTTATTAGATATTTTCAGGATATTCAGGATTTCAGGTTCAGTATTCAGGTTTCTTCAGTTTCTTCAAATAAAATAAATTTCTCTCATTTTCACCATGAGATTGAGCTAATTAACTACAATGACATTTTTTGTGACCTTATTTTTTTAACTCATCTTTGGGTGCCAATAATTATGAAGTTGACTGTACATATTCACTATATTCACTTACTTTTTGTGAGATGTGTGTGATGATATCTTCATATTTGTCTTCATACTTGAATTCATTTGAAAAGTGCACACAGCACATACAATAAATATGTAGAATAGGTGGTATAAGTGGTAGTTCACACATGACAGTCTGTGGTTGTAATTTGTGCGCTCCTTTTCCTTTTTTATCACCATGTTGGGGGTCTTTCTCATGTTCTGTCCAGCAGTGTTAGGGTGTAATTAGAGGAATGCTCCTGCTGAGAAACTGAGTACTCTTAGATGTGTCACTAGAGTACATCAATATGTTTTGCTTCAGAGAACATTTTACAGTAAATAGAAACATGCTGTAGGTCTTGTCAGCCTTCAGCAGGGGGCAGTATTGCATGTCACATTTAACCCAAAACCATCAGTTCGGCTTCAGTTGTGTGATGTGGAGCTCCATTGACATGTCTGTTTTGTTTTATTTATTTATTTGTTTGAAGCCACACTCAGGTGTACTCGTGTAGCGCTGACGGCTTTGTGATTGTTTGGGATGTTCTCACTCTGAAGGTGAAGAAACAGTTTCATTTGGATTGTGAAGGACTGCAGTTTCTAAAGCTTTATAATGGAACATTATGGTGTGGTAAGTCATCACATGCTAAGAGATGTGACAGTAAAGTTTTAGTAATTATCACAAAGCATATAAAGGCTAGTTAGAATACACACTGAATTTTTGTGATTATATAAAATCAGAAGACCAACAGTATTCATTTGTGTGATGTGTTTGCGTATAAGTAACAGGGGCTGTCTTAAATCCAAACTGAAATATGAGTTAACTTTGTGTTTCGTGCATTATTAGGTGCCAGAGACTGTATCATGGAAGTGAGGAAGAGCGGAGCGCTTCATCGTAAGCTCTCTCTACCCGAGGCTGTGATGAGCACAAACACTACTTTCAGCAGCTTCCTGCTTCTAGTAGAGGTTTGTATTTTCCTTACAAACATTCTCAGTCTTTACTCACCATCTTTAGGCTGTACATAACTGTTACTGGCAAAACATCTGATGATAATGATTTAACAGAATTTAAAGCAAAATTCTATCGATTTTTGAAAGTTTCTGTATAGTTTAATCACTGAGATGTCAAGGTCATCATCATTCACGGTAATTTGAAGTAAACGGGTAAAATGTAGAGACACTTACCAACTCAGATCTCTTTACTATGATAGTGATAGGAACAAAGGGTTGCAATGTCTACAGCACAAATACAGCCATTCTATTTTCCATCCAAAATAACCAGAGTTTGTTTGTTTGTTTGTTTGTTTGTTTGTATATGTAATGTTGATAATGAAAAAATACTGAAACCTGAAAACAAAATTTTTCTTTGGTGTTTGTGTAGCTTTACAATAATCAGGCAGTGTATTCATAACCAAAAACACATGTCCTCCAGTACTCACAGTACATTCACGTTTGATACTTAAGTACATTTAAAAGCAAGCCTGTTTGTACAGAAACATAGCTGGAACATTTCTATTGTTACCAAAATATTTATACTTTGTCTCAATTACAGACATTTTGTTTTGGCCATCCCTGGTGATTCCACAGCCACTGTTTGCCATCAAACACTAATCGTACTACAGTGGATGAGGGCCTCATATAAAAAGAACATGAGTCAATATTTGCATGATTCCAGTAGATTTGGTTTCTAATGTGGCTGTCCTTTCTCTGATCATTAATGATATACCCTTCAGCAAAGCCATTAAACTCAAGTGCTGTAATCAAGGGCCTTAAAGGCTGTGCACTAGTTGCCTGTTTGAATCCTGTCTCATCCCTACATGTCTCAGGCAGGGGAGATCTGGACCAGCTTCTCAGATTCAGGGGAGCTGTGTGTGTGGGCCTTAACAGACCTGACTGCGCCATCCAACAGGATCATACTCCCAGAATGCACTGGAGTCACATGCATGATAAAGGTCAAGGACCAGGTATGCATGTGAATTCTGTCTGCTAGTATGCATGTGGACCTTTTTGAGCATTATTAGAAATAATATCTACAAAATTTACACACTGAGTTGTCAGTTTCCTACACGTCTTATAATATTTGGCCATTGAAGGTGCTGTGGTGGTCCCTTTCCATTGATGGGGTGGAGATGGGGTAGAGGCAGGTTGATCAATTGTGCAGCAACAGATGGGCTACAGCCAGTAATTGTAAACATAGAGGATGCACCTATACAGCACTGTGTAAAAATCAGAGACCCTCCCTTCATTAAAGATTAATTTCCACTCAAAACAACCCTTAATTAATTCATTATTAATTTTCCAGCACCAGGAAAAAACAAATAATCTCATCAGAAAAATCCCCTTAAAAAATTAATCACTTGTACTTTATGACTATTTTGGCTGGTAATTAACTAAATGAAGGGTGGTCCCTGACTTTTGCACAGTATTGTATGGAAGGTGTACCTGATAAAAAGATAAAATTTTATATACCTGATAAACTGGCAACTCAGCGTATATTACAGTGGCTTTTCCATCCTCTCATCTCTCTCTGTAGATCTGGGTGGGCTGTCATGGCAGTAGTCCCATGCCGAGCAGCGTGAGCGGGAAGATTTTCGTGTTGGACTCGGAGAGCTGCAATGTGCGGAAGGAGCTGCAGGCTCACACAGACAGCGTTCAAGCTCTGTGCTCTGCCGAGAACCGCTATGTATTCAGTGGCTCTGCTAAACATGATGGCAAGATTGCCATCTGGAAAGTAGAGTAGAGAAATGAGACCTAGGTCAGCCTTGGATGAAAAAAAACAAACAATACAAAATAGTCTTAATGGCTTTGCAGCGAAACATTCAACAGTCAGTTTTTCCCTGCCTGGTAGACAGAGGCACATTTGGCATGCCTCAGTAGAAAGAAACAGGCCATGAAGTCAGGGCTCAAACCCTGAGCAAATGACAGAGGAGGATCCAATCCACAGCCCAACACAATAAAGCACGAAAAGCACAATAACACAATGTTTAAATAATCTTAAACATCTTAAAACCAACAACGTTAACAACAAAAAATGTCTTACCAGGAGCATGGTGCCCCCCCGAGAGACTCTCTGCACTGCCACTTTGCATGGCTGCGGATGGTCATCACCAGTGGCAGGATGCCACAATATTATGTAAAACCAGATGTGTTGTACATATGTGTTGTATTATAATTGCAGGCAGGGTCAAGAAGTGTTTACCTTATACAACAAGTCTATTGTCTAAACCAGTATCCTCAACATCCAGATCAACATTAGACCAACAAGACCAAAAGTAGCAACCTAAGCAAGGCCAGTATCACAAATTTTGCACTAGGTTTGAACAGAGTTTGTGTTTGTGCCTCCCCCTTAGTACTTGGGGAACTGTAGCTGTATTCATAAAGCTTTTCAGAGTTGGACTGCTGTTTCTGGATCTGTAATGATCCTTGAAACATCATGAATAGAATCAGTATGTTCAGAGAGAATCTGGTCCAAATTGGCACTGTGGCTCATTATGAATTCAGGTTGCATCTCCCTCGCCCATGCGGAGAGCAGTGATTGGCTAGACTCGCTGTCGGGTGTGGGAGGCTCTCCATAACACCAGAGACCCCAGACCAGCACTCAAATGCTGACATGTCAATGGAAGGAATTTTTGGGATGTGTTTACTAGACAATGTAGATACACATCTGCATCTTCCCCCAGTGCATGCGGTTGTGCAGATAATAGCCACACTGTTATTCATGTTAATCTAGATTTGACAATTGCAGGGGGAGAAACAGTGGTCTCTTTTTTGGTATTTGTTGAAAAGTAAAATAGCTTTTGAAACAGACCATATTACATGTTCGGTGTCTGTCTATATCAACTATTAATATAATGTCATTAGCTGTGATTGTGTATGTACACTACATGTGCAACTGTTTGTATACACATGCTTGTCTGGCATTTTCTTCTGAAATCAAGGGTATTAATAAGGAGTTTGCCCCACTTTGCTGCAGTAACAGCTCTCTACTCTCCTAGGAAGGCTGTACACTAGATATTAGAACTTTGCTGTGAGGATCTGATTGCATGCAGCCACAAGAACATTAATAAGGTCAGGTGCTGATGTTGGATGATTAGTCCTATATCACAAACAGCACTCCAACTTATCCTAAAGGTATTGGATGGAGCTCCATCACTCCTCAGAACAGCCCAGTGCTGGAGGGCTTTTTACTTCTCTAGCCAGCGCTTGGCATTGGACATGGTGACCTTAGGCTCATATGCTGCTGCTCCACAGCATACCATTCTATGGACAGAACTTTTCTAGTGAGATTGTACAACACTGTAAAATTGATCTTTTTGTTAGGTACACTTACCATATTTTCCATTTTTGCACTTTGTACCTTTACAGTTACTGACTCTGGCTCATCAGCTGCTGCACGGTTTATCAGACCCCCATCTTAATCCATCCATAAATGGAAAGGGGGCACAATAGGACCACCACTAACCCAATCAGTTGTGCAGCAACAGATGGACTACAGCCAGAAGCCCTAACATAATGCACCTACACTCACTAAGGACTTTATTAAGCACATGTACCTTGTATCTACACTCACTGACCATTTTATCAGCTCCGCTTAGCATATAGGTGCACTTTGCACTTCTACAGTTACAGACTGTAGTCCAACTCTTTCTCTGATTTTAGCCATCTTTACCCCATTCATCGATGGTCAGGACTCCAACTGGATCACCACAGAGTATTATTTGGGCAGTGGACTATTCTCACCACTGCAGTGACTGACATGGTGGTGGCGTATTAGTGTGTGTTGTGCTGGTACGAGTGGATCAGACACAGCAGTTCTGCTGGAGTTTATAAAAACCTTAGTGTCACTGCTGTGTCTGATCCACTCCTACCAGCGCAACAAACACTATCACGCCACCACCACATCAGTCACTGCAGTGCTGAGAATTATCCACTACCCAAATAATACCTGCTCTGTAGTGGTCCTGTGGGGGTTCTGACCATTGATGAATGGGGTAAGGATGGCTAACAAAGTATGCAGAGAAACAGGTGAACTACAAAGTGCACCTGTATGGTAAGTGGAACTCATAAAATGGACAATGAGTGCAGAAACAAGGTGGATGTACCTCATAAATTGCTCAGTGAGTGTATATAGCAGGTGTACCTGATGATAAAAACAGCAGTTCATGTAGTGTTTCCTTTATTTCGTACACTTATTCATTTGCTTTCATTTATGCGAAGACAAACCGCCCCCACAGTTACAAGAATTGTATAAAAATACTGTTTTTTCCCCCATAAGACTTGTGTAATTAGAAATTAATTGAATTAATAGGTGCCCACCGATGTAATTCATCTTCGCGGGGGGGTCCCTCGCTATAAGTGTGTTGTATTGTTGGTCAAAAAGGGAAAGAACAGAAAAGAAGAGCCACACTGGACAGGTGAGGAAAACAGCAGCGTATTCAAAAACTGCTGGCTCCCGGTCAGCACGGTAAGGTCACCCAGGCTGGAGCAGTGCCGGGCCCGCTCACTCTGCGTCAGCCATGTTGGAGCCATGATTGCGGGATGCAGCGCTGTGTTGGTGGGAACAGTAGAGAGAGGGAGTATTCCGACTGTGGAGGCGAGAGAGCCAGACCCCACTGAGCTTTTAAAGGAAACAAGACACACACACACAGCTAACTGACCAACGGGACCTCCACACGGGTAACACTGCGGAGTCAAGGCGTTTGTGGAATAACGGATGAAGAGCACACGGTAAGAGTGGAGCAGCCCCTCCGGAGAGAACATGATTGTTATAAAGAAAAGCGTTAACTTGCAAGGCTGTTAGCCTGTTAGCATATAGTGTGAGGGGCACGGGTCTATAGTTAGCCTGCTTGGGGAGGAGGATAACGCTTTCCTGCTCCGACTGGCTGACAAGGACCGTTGGCTGGCTGGATTTGTGAAATGTTAACGCTAAAATGTCTGTATTAGCATTTGGCTTCGGTTACCGTTAAGGTTTTTTTTTTTTTTTTAAATAGCTAACGTTAATGTGAGCCAGGTCGCGCCTCAGGATTGAAGTCAAATGAAGTCATTCTCCTTTTATTTGTCTTAGAAAATGCACATAATATGGCTGTTTCAAACGAAATGACTAAGTACCCAGCCAAAACTAGTCAGGTTTGTTTGTTTTTTGTTGGTGTCCGTGTTTGTTTACCGGGCTCCATAAGCTCAGCGCATTGTTGTCAGAAGGTGTATTTGTGGTAACTACAGGCAATAATACAATCATAATCAGCGTTTCTGTGGTACATGCTGGCAAAAACAAACGACAGTGGGACTCTAAAGTTATATGTAGCTGAACTTAAAGCTTCTGTAACTACCGTTAACTGCCTTACGACTACGGAAAACGATCTCGTTTCTTCTGAGTAGGTCTACTTCTACTCAGTATGGCAACTTTCATTGATTTCATTATTGCTGGATGTGGAGGAGTAAGCTGTCTTCACCTGCTTCTATTGTTTTTATACCCCCCCCTTTCTCAGTAATAGGGTGTTTTTTCCTTCATCATTTGAGAAGCTGCCCTGTTTTTTCCTCATGTGGAAGAGAATAACGGTTTATTCTGTTGACAGAGGAAATGCACATGCCTAACCTGATTGCTGCCTGTGCAAGGTGGTGCTTGTGGCAAGTCATAGCTAGTGTATGGGAGAGGGAGGTGCTAGGAGGACTTCCATAGGTGTGTGCAGCAGGAAGACTTAGTTATGTTGATATGCCTCGAAAGGTGCGCAGGTAGAAGACAAAAGCAAAAGGAAAGAGGCTTGCTATTGGGAAAACACATGGAAAGACATCATGCAGTTCTGGAGTTTCCTGAGCTGTACCGGTGGAGGTATGTGAGTTCACCTGATCATGAAAATCCATCACTCGTGTGGTTTATAAGCTCTGGCTCAGTAGAGCTGGCGTGGCTGGGGCCGTAGTAAACAAGACGAGCGAGCACTCTGGAGATAAAGTATCGAGTTTGCTGCTGTTTTCTGTGTTTGCTTGTGAAAGCTTTTAAATCCTTTCTAACTACATTGGTTAGAGTCTTAGGTTATACAGGCAGAATGTCATCCTAAGAATTCTTGGAGACTTTCCTTATCGCAATGTGATCTGCTGCAGGGTATGGTTTTGCATCAGTGGTATGTTTGCAACCAGCCTGTGAAGTCTGTCTTTATTTTGACAGAGATATACACCAATTACTTCACTTTTAAAAGGCCTCAGTTACAGCAAATATAGTAGTGTTTAGGGGTGTGGCGATATGGGAATTGGGGCCCGATGTCAGTATCTGACATTTTCTGTATACATATTTACAGACTGCTGATTAAATGTAGAAATTGGGCCCACATCTAGCTGGAATAGAATATTGTGTGGGTTGCAAATGCAAGAACATTAATAAAATGCAGAAATTTCTTCCCAGTAGCCAAAAGTTGCCCAAACATTGTTTTAATTGAATAAATACATCATCAAATATCAGTTTGAAATATGTCAACTCTAAATATCTACCCTATGGGATATTTTTAAAGTTATTATTTGCTATACATATATGATTATGACAGCTAGTCATCTTTATGTTTAAATGTTTTTTGCTTCTGTTTTCTTGCAATGGGATAAAAATCCTTATTTTATTAAATGTCGTTAAAATGTAGATACACAGCCATCTGAATCTTTATTTTAATAAAATAACGTTTTTTAAGTAGTACATTGTGTATGCTAATGACCACAACAGTGATTACATTTTCATGTTTTTACATCATATGTCTAATCAGTGATCTGAAAAGGATAAGAAATATGAGAAATAACTCATCTGCTGCTGCACAGTTTGTTTTGGTCATCCTTTAATCCTTCATCATCAGTCACTGGACACTGCCCACAGGACGCTGTTGGCTGGATATCTTTGGGTGGTGGACTACTTTCAGTCCAGCAGTCACACTGAGGTGTTTAAAAACTCCAGCAGCACTGCTGTGTCTGATCCACTCGTACCAGCACAACACACACTAATACACCACAACCACATCAGTGTCACTACAGAGCTGGGAGTGATCCGCCACCCAAATAATACCTGCTCTGTGGTGGTCCTGACCATTAAAGAACAGTGTAACAGAGTATGCTGATAAACAGATGGACTACAGTCTGTAATTGTAGAACTATAGAGTGTACCTATATGGTAAGTGAGGAGCTGATAAAATGGACAATGAGTCCAGAAAAAAGGATGTTATGTTTTAATGTTATGGCTGATTGGTGTAATTACCATCACTCAAACCATGCTTGTGATACAGCCACCGCATATAGCTGGTGGTGTCACACAACAGAATAAAGAGTGATCAAAGCGTGATTCCTTTAATTGTCTGGCTTAGTGGGGGAATTAACTTCAGCAGTAGTTTAGCCCCATATTATAGGAAGTGGGAAATCTCACTGGAGCCTAAATAGCAAGAATAATGCAAAGAAGTCTGTCAGTGTGAGGGTAGTGAACTGTGCAGAGAGGCCAGTGCAGTTGAAAATTCAGGTGCCATTCTTTGAACTATTTTAATGCAGAATATTCTAAATTTACAGTTAAACATGAGACGATTCGCACAGAGAATGAATAGAGACTTGGCGTGATACAGTTCATGAAGTCAGGAAGACTGCTGTATGCAAATATGGTAGAATTTGATCAATAAGCCACTGCATTTTTCACTGTGACCTTCCTATTGGTAGTGATACAACTAACTTCTGACTTACTACTACACTGATTCTCTGCTCATTCTCTGTACGCGGTTCTCTGTACTTTGTAAATACAACTGTTAGAGATGTGCTGCCTTATTTCCAGCTGCATCAAACCTGTATCAAATATGGCAAAAATAAAACATCATGATATATAAATGTTTTCTTGATGCATGGTATACTTCATGATATTTAGATTTTCTGAGGTTTGATAAGTTGGAAATGACAAAAAGCACCAGTGCTGCCACATTTAGAGATATTATACAGGACTTGGAATACAGTGATTTTAATGAACATTTCACTTGCTGCATTGCAATAAATCCAATTAAATAGACCTAATAATGCTCTCGTAATGAAACATGTAGTGCTCAGTGTTTTTTAAGTAGTGAAAATGTATGCAATGTTTTCAGAGAGGTAGTCTGTATTGCGATGTAATGCAATTTGTAATATAATGCAATATTGATGTATTATTCAAGTTTACCTGACAGCATAATATTTTTATTTATTTTTTTAAACAATGCTAGTGCAGAATAACAGCATAGTAGAAACATTTGTTTCAGCTTTAAAAAGTATAATTATATACTTTGTTACAGCACCTTGACATTTTTGATCTCACTCTCTTGATGTATCGCTCAGCCCCAGACCTGATCCTTGAGCTAATTATCACATTCTTGCATCATAGTAAAATACTACTACAGTGAATACTTAGAACAGTGACTCCTCCTGGGGTTTAAGCTTTGAGATATGTGTGATATCCCTGAGTCTGCTTTGTCTTCTGCACCATTTGTTTGGAAGAAACGATGTGTTTGACATGTCTGAACAAAACTGTTCAGCTGTAGGTGTTGCTGGAATATACCAGATTTTCTGATCAAGTAAACATGCTGAATGTATAGTGAGCTTATGGTGGGTGAAACAGGGTGATTTCTGGCTTTGAGCAAGTATGGGCTACTGCTAAAGCTTGCAGGGACCCTTGTTTTTAGATATTAAACTAATTTGAAGGATTCATTTTTATACCAATATTTAATAAGATTTTGTAACTGTGAAGTCATTTTAGAGGAATTTCACTAACATTCCTTAGTGTTCTCCAGATGAGCCTGCTGCTGGCTATGAAGCCGTGTACTGACTTGCAGTCAGCTGGCTACATTTTTGAGGGTTAAATTAATTTTCTTTTGACTTCGTGTCCTTTGATGAAGTACAGATAGAACAGAACATGTATAACATTATTAGATTTGAATAATGTGTAGTGAACTACCCACTTAATTTAGTTCTTATCATGCTGCTCTTTAGCTTGGTGTCTGTTTCATGCATGTGTTGTATTCTTTACTTTGCTCACCTGTTTGTCGACTAGAACACAATGCCACTTGTTCTTTTGTGATATTGACATTGACACCTTAAGTGTCGACTGCTACCAATCTTATATTTCTTACAAAACTACTAATCTTTAAAATGGGTTATTTTTAAGTAAGGTGCTTCACTCAAGATTTTAAAATTTTCATTTATTTAACCTTTAATTTAATCAGGCAAGTCAGTAAAAGCATTCTTATTTACAATGGTGGTCTGGCAAGAGGAGCATGCAAATGGAAACACTTTACCACTCCACAGAAGGAAACACAGATAGCATCAACGATGTAAAAGTTTCTTACAGGATTGGATTGGATTTCTGTAATATTTAAGAGTTTGGTTTAAGAGAGCAAATGGAAAACATTCAGTATTGGTCATGATAGGTTACAACACTGAGCACAGGCTACATTCACTGTACTTTGTGCTTCTGGATTGTTTTAAACAGCGTCCTACCTTAAGGGGGTAATCATTTCAGTACACTAGCAAAGCATGTTACTCACACACTCGCAATCAAATTACTGGGCTTTGTTTTTTTCTGCGAGTACTTATAAATTCTAGCGTTGCAGTTTTTGGGCTCATTTAGTTACTAAAAATTCAGTTGAATCTTGACCTCAGAATCAAAAAGAATCCAAAAAGATCAAGCCAAACCTGAAAATATATCATTACACCCCTTCCTACATCACTGTTTATTTTAATATAATGCTTTCTGTAAAATTGCACTCCAGTTTAATGACAAGCAAATAAAGTAATAGTGATGTGTTTTGCCTGTGACGTAAGGCAGATGTATGGAGCTGGTTTTAATGAGCTTGCTTTCTTCCCCATTACATAAGTATTTGCTGATTCTGTCCAGCAGAATGAAAGGGATTTTTTTTTATACAAAATAACAATTAATGAATGTGTCTCACATAATTGCAAATAGATACTTTAATTGAAATGGAAATGACAGACTCTTGAATCAGTTTCCAAACATGTGGAATCCATTGCAGGTCATTTAATTTAGACCTAATGTTCTTTGCCAAATATATTTTAAATATGCTGAAGTGAATTAGGCTCAAACATAATTTGACAAAAATTAGCTGGAACACTAATTGTAACATTTTTGGAAGTATCTTTGGAAATATTGGTGTGTTTCTAGATAACATGTATTCTTCTGTCAAATGGGATTGAATATCTGTGTTAGTTTATAGAACTGTGCATGAACATCTTATGCCTATAAGCTTGGCCACGTTATACAGTAGAATATTTCTTGTAGAGTTCTAATATGCTTAGAATTAGGGATGCACAATGGTTTCAGAATCATATTGGTATTGGCTGATATTGCTGTAGTATCGGTGTGAGACAGATGTTTAGATTTGACGTATTTATTGTACTCTGGAGGGACAATGTTTGAGACGCTGGGCTGCTGTGGTGAAATATCTGCATTTTGTTAATTGTATGCGAAAGTTAATGTTATGTTATGTGTAATGCTAATCCAGGTAGGTATAGTCCTAATTTCTGTGTTTTATAAATGTTTATGCATCAGCCCACAGTTCCCATATCAGCTTCTTTACCAGGTTTAATTCAATCTCACAAAGTCAGCATTGAATAAAGTTAGTTAACCCAAACATAGTCAACATTTTTACACCAGACTTTACATGCATGCCTTATTTACTTGAATACTAGACCAATAGGCCAAGGATTCTGAATCTTTATTTGCTTTTGGGATCATTTTGTTTTCTGTGGTGTTTCAGAAGTTTTGGCTGAGGCTGTTTTTATTATTTTTAGTCATTTTTTTCTAGGTCAGTATGAAAGCGTCTTGTGTTTTGTCTG